CCCTTTGTCCACTTGTAATCATAGTCATGCATTCTTTGCACAGGCGATCCTCCTTCATTCGTTTTTCTGTACATTGTGCTCTTTTGTTTTGTTTATTTGCCCTTACAGTTGATAGACAGATTATTACGTATTTGACTACTGATTTGTCAATTCAGTTTCAGTATTTGATTATCAGAAAACTAGGCCATGTTACCCAATAAACAAAACATTGTTATATGGAGTGATTGTTCTTGTTCTCCTTTGGAGATTGCACATCATTGTTGAATGGTCTTGTTCATTTTTTTAGTATTTCCATTTATTACTCAACTTTCTTCTAAATAAATTGCCTTATTATATTAATGAGTAGAAGCACATGCACATGCACATGCACATGCACATGCCCTTATACATGTCATTAACACACGCAATGATGTAAAGGTTGAGAATTGTATATAATGTTAATCCTCACCTCAGAACTAGTTCTAATGAAACACCAACAAAGATGTGATAACTGATTTTAAATTCCTTGTCCCCCCGTTTTTCTTGACAAAACTGAAGTATCAACTTGGCATATAGGTATTTAGTTTATATCTAAAAGCCTGACCCTATAAATATTAGCCAGAATTGACACTCAGGCCTGTCATCATGGAACAGGACTCTAAACCTTGCTGATCGTAGAAAAGGCCAATAGACATTGATCCATGAGTGTCACGACACGAGGTTTCTTGCAACACTTGATGCACCAAATTGACTGTGTCTATCTATGCTATATCCTATTCTTCAATATTGTGTTTTAAGTCGGACTTTGTTACCTTTCTGTTTCAGTTTTCCTTGACAACAACACACAAATGCTCTCTTTTGCGAATCATCGTCGCACCCACATTCGAATACAATGTTAATTAAAGTTTCATCTGCAGAGACGTTTGCTTATCTAAAAGATTGTGTGATATTCATAATCTATTGACAGCTTTGTCAGACGTTTAACTTGGATTTATAAATAACTGGTAAGACCCCACATCCATGTGTCCGGAAGAAGTCTGCTCAGTTAAATAAAGACAACAGGTTCCAGCGCTGTGACTCATTTGGAATAAGCACAAATTCCTTCTGCAGTTCTTCTTGTTCCATTGCTTCTGTTAAATATCTTGATTTCTATGTCAATCCAACTCTTCTATAAAATGATATGCTGGTATAAAAACTCTGATCATCGGTTCATATAACCACCTTTTAAGGGATGATATCTAGCATATTTGAGATTCAAATCTCAAACCCGCAAACCTTTTATCTATCTGCACGCTGTAGACTCCTTTGTTAAAAAAATATGTAGTATAAAATTTTCATGTCACTACGTTATTTGATTACATGCTTAATTCCTAGCTAGATCAATAATTGCAAGTGGGAATATCTCATTAGTGAAGTCGGCAATATTCAGCTAGAGCTATAGTCACTTTCAAACAAAGCAGAGAGCGTGTTGGTCCATTAACTAGTCTTCCCGCACAATCAATAGTACTGTCTCTGAAGCATTATATATACAGAGCTATCTCATTGCTTCTAATTGTCCTACCATTATTAATCTTTTGCACCAGGCATAAGACCTAGCTGCAGGCTAAGTAGCCATGGTATTTTCATCTTTTCCTCGTTTCATTTTGCTCGCTCTTTTTGTTTAACTTTTAGATATTTCCTTTAAAACAAATAACAATATTTTTCTGGTTTTGTTGCGGGAGAAACTTGATTTTGTTGAAGGAAAGGTGGACTGGAAGGGAAAAACAGCTGTGAAGTATACGCATTGAGGAATGAGAGCTGCTTTCTTCATTCTAGGTAAATGAACACTGCTTAATATATATAATTAGTACTGCGAAAAGGAAAAAAATTTATAAAAGAAAATTTTGGTTATAACTTATAAACTCATGTAAAATGATTTCTTGTTTTCTGCAGTGAGGTTTGCATTTGAGAACATGGCAAATATTCATCTGGCTGTGAACCTGGTGACTTAATTCAATGGAATTTTGCACTTCGAAGTTGCTGATGCAGCTAATGTTCTAACCAACTTCATGGGGACTGGTTATATCTTTCCATTCTGTTTGGCATCCTCGCAGACAGTTATATTGGCAGATTTAAAATTGTTCTCGTTTAAGGATCCATCGAGTTTTTGGTATGCTAGATATTATCATCATTTTGTATAATGTTATCCATTTTTCCACTGATATGGCCCAAGAGAGATGACTTGGAAGTTGAGAATCGCTCTCACTCTTTCGGGAAGGCTAGAAATTTCATAGCCAAAGCTGACAAACTTGTTTCTAATCAGTAATTCATTTGCTTTTGTTTATGATTCTGTGAATGATCATTACATGGAGGGACTGGCATTGCTTTCAGTGCAAGCTCACTACCCAAGCCTCAAGCCACCTATTTGTAACGTCTTTGACCCAACTTCTCGCTGTGAGAAAATAAAAAGTGGTGTTGCTGCATTCCTCTACATTGCTCTATACTTGGTTGCTGCCGGAACAGGAGGGATTAAAGCTTCTGTGCCATCCCATGGTGCTGATCAGTTCGATGAGAAAGACGACCCAGAGGCTAAGCACATGTCTAGTTTCTTCAACTTTTTTTATTAGCCGTGTGCCTTGGTGGTGCAGTTAGTTTAACGCTCATTGTCCGGCTTGATGATTACAAAGGATGGGATTTGGGACTCGGGGTCTCTGCCATCGCCATGTTTTTGGGTGTCATCGTTGCCGTAGCAGGATGGCCATTGTATAGGATACATGTTGTTCAAGGAACTAGTGTCATCGTGGAAATCACTCAGGTTTATAGAAAAGTCCATCAATTCTATATGAAAAGTCAACTTTCTCATTTTTTTTGTCTTTTTCAAAAATTACTTAATTCGTAACTTGTGTCTCTATGTGGATAAGTGTTCACTCACTTCCTTTTGGTTTGCTTGAAGCTTTATATTGCAGCCATCCGAAACAGAAATCTTCAACTCCCTGGGAACCCTCTGGAGCTCTATGAGATTGACAACGACAAAGAAGCTACTTTGGAAGATGATTTCCTGCCTCACAGAGACGTTTACAGGTTTCGTCCAAGTTCCGCTTTTTTATTTGGTTCTTTCTGATGAAAGAAGTTTCTGTTGCTATTGAATCATAATCAATCAAAGAGTCTTATTCATCCTGTTTATGATTGTATTCAGGTTCCTGGACAAAGCAGCCATTCAAACAGCATCACCAGCGCAGACTCCAAATCTACGGAAACTCTGCAGGGTAAGCCAAGTAGAAAATGCAAAAATCATTCCTGGAATGATCCCAATTTTTGCTTGTACCATAATCATGACCCCTTTGCCTAGCTCAGCTCCAAATCTTTTCTGTCCAACAAGGCCTTACCATGGATACAACGATCGTTGGCTCTTTCCACATACCAGCTGCCTCTCTACCAATAATTCCTATAGATTTCTTGATCGTCATAATTCCCTTTTATGACCAACTTGTTGTTCCCCTTCTCCGGAAGTTCACAGGGCATTCCGCAGGGATCACTCTCCTTCAACGTGTAGGAGTTGGCCTCATTCTCTCTTCCATATCCATGGCTGTGTGTCACGGACTAAGCTTTCTCTCAACAAGCACTAGCCCGTGTGGCACTTGAATGGACGCTTCCACCCAAGTCAACCTTCAATAGATCGAGATCTGAACAAATAACCATAAACCATAGTTAGTCTCAAGCATTCACAATAAGGCACAATATATCGAGGTCAATCTCAAGCATACACACAACCAGACACATTCACATCGAGAAATAAAGAAACACATCGAGGCAACAATCGGACATTCAATCGGAGAATTATATTATAAATGGGAATCATACATCGGACCTCCCACCATCACCAGGGCCAGGGGGGCAGCCCTTGGTGGATGGTCTAAGCTCGCATAGCACTCGATGAGACAGTCCAATACTATGCTGCCGGCTCACCTCCTAAAGAGTCTTAGAACTTTTAGAGTTATGCTACAGTAACCGTTACAATGTTTGAAATGAGGACACTTTTCCTAGCACAAGGGATCTACTCGACCATGACCCTATACATGGGTGGCTCATGATAACCTAAATCTCGGTCATAACCCTATACAAAGGTGGCTCATGACACTGTGGCTGCAGTAATGAAGTGAAACGCCAAGCTGTGGCACGAGACCACAATATGCTAGAAGCTTTGCAACCATTGCCTATTAGTGCATTCTGGCTCTCATTCCAGTACTTCATATTTGGAGTTGCTGACATGTTTACATTTGTAGGTCTTCTTGAATTTTTCTATTCAGAAGCTCCAAAAGGACTTAAAACGGTCTCTACTTGCTTTTTGTGGAGTGCCATGGCACTTGGGTACTATCTCAGTACCATTGTGGTTAAGATAGTCAATAGTGCAACAAAAGATATTACTAACAGTGGAGGCTGGTTAGCAGGCAACAATATCAACAGGAATCATCTGAATCTCTTCTATCTGTTGTTTTCTTTAATGAGTTTGGTCAATTTTATTGTCTATTTGCTTGTTGCTATGCGCTATAAGTACAGGTCCGAGAGCCCTGAGGTTTCTTCTGTCGATGACAAATCTGGAGCCATGACAGAAGGAAACTAGCTAAAGTAACAAATGGAAATTTCTTTTCCTTGATCTGTTTCTACTTTCTTTTGATGTTTATTTCAAATTAAGTTGATGAAAGATGTAGAGGTTTTGAAATGTATCTGTTATGTTCATTAACCAAATATGCCATATTCTGGGAAACAATTTATTTTCATGTGTAAATTTGGTCACATACCTGATATCCAAAGCAAAGGTATTATGATAAATTTAAATTTCATCATTAAATTAGATTATTAACACAATTTGTCAAACAAAAGGTCAAATAAAGGTAAAATTTGTTATCATATGTGATGTTAACAGCCTCTAATCCTAATAGAATCTGCTTTTTTACTATTGCAACTTTTCAATTGTAATCGGAATGTCAAATTCATTTTCTGGAACATATGCTGTGGGCCCTGGCATCAGGTTCCAGGGCCTGTACTCGAGCACAAGGGCATATGCGCTTCCCATGTGCCACTTTGCCCAAGTTGCCACTTGAAAATCCAAAACCCATTTTTCTCCATCTTCAAAAACCCAAATTCAATCTAGACCAGCTTTCCAAGTTCCAACTGCAAGCCACTGCTCGCTCGCTTCAGTTCGACTTGTTTCACCCTCATGGGAACCTCAGAAGCCGTGGTTAAGAAAGATGTGTATTCGGTGTGGGCACTTCCACCGGAAGACGTTACTGCCAGGGTGAAGAAGTTGATGGAAGGTTTAAGATCCGAGTTCGGTGGGCCACAGTTCGAGCCCCACGTCACGGTTGTTGGGGCCATCAGTTTAACAGCTGATGATGCGTTGGCCAAGTTCAGGTCAGCCTGTGATGGGCTTAAAGCTTATAATGCTACCGTCGACCGTGTGGCCACTGGGACTTTCTTTTATCAATGCGTTTTTTTGCTGCTTCACCCCACTTCTGAGGTAATAATTCCCATTTCATTTCACTATTTCTTTGCTCTTCCTTTAATTTATAAAACTTCATTCACAGAATTTTTTTTTCCTTTTTAGAGTAGTTGAAGTAAAGGGTTTTATGCATTTTTCCAGGTGGTGGAAGCAAGTGCACATTGTACCGATCATTTTGGTTACAAGAATTCCACTCGTAAGTAAAGTGTTGCCCTTTGGTTCAACACCTTTGGCAATCTTATGTTTCATGGCATGGATCAGGGTATCATGTAACAGTGGGGTAAATTTTCTAGAACCCCTCTTTAGTCACCCAAAATTTTCAATGACTTAATACTTCATAAAGCTGAAATTCATTAGACTAAACCGTAGCTATATTATGTGATTTGAAGATCATGGTTACCTGGAAAGCTGTCAATTAAAATCATTGGTGCTTTCTTGTAAAATTTTCAAGGGAAGAAAATCTAAATATTACCCTGAGGTTTTGGTATAATTCACCTGCAGAGATGATTAGAATTATGGAATATGGAGTAACCAAGCATAAAGATAACATTTTGAGTTGCTACAAGCGTTCTACTGAGAGGGGAAGAAAAAAAACTAGAAATACAGTGGTCCAGGTGTGTTAAGGATGGTCAAAATGGGCAGAATGGGTGAGTTTAACATTGTTATTAATTGGTGCATCTTTCCACTGAGTTCTTTAATGGTGTGCCTAAATGCTCATACTCAATTTGATTTCTTTGCTTTCAACTTGCAAAACAAAGTCATTTTTTTAACTTGATGTAGCTTGTATATCTGAATCCATTTCCTTGCTTTAGTTTGGCCCAGTGGCTAGATGAGCTATGGTTGGTAATTGCTGTTTGTCTTCAAGAATGGGCGTGAACTATTTTCTAGATGAGAGAAACTATTATCCTCATCTGACAATTGAAATTGAGGTTTCCAAATCAAAACAAAGCTTAATTGATCACCTTTCAATTTAAACTTTAAGGGGAAGAGAAAGTATTTATACTTGTCCTTCTATTATGACATTCATTGTATTGGTCACAAACAGACTGTTGACAAATATGTCTTCTATTTTCTTGTAGCATACATGCCACATTTGAGCCTCCTTTATGCTGACCTGACAGAAGAAGAGAAGAAGAAAGCTCAAGAAAAAGCTAATATACCTTATGAAAGCATTGGCAGCCTGAGCTTCCAGATAAGTCGCCTTGCATTGTATAAAACAGACACTGAGGACAGAACTCTCAAATCCTGGGAGAAGGTTGCTGAATGCAACCTCAATCCCAATTAGCTCTTTCTCTTCTGTTACTAATGCAAATGGCACCTAATATGATTTTACCATATAATCTCCTTTCTTACATCAAATATAGGTTGTAATAAGAGTGACCGTGTCATCTTTCCGACATTAATAATAGTGTACCTCCTCCGGTTCTGAGTATTACTATGAGTTATGATGGTAGGGCACTATATATGTCATCGACAATTTGATGTCTTTAAGGCTGTGTACCTTGAGAACTGCTGCTAGCCATTAACAATCCAGGCAATTTGCCAAGTCCACGGGCTGCTGCTACTTATTTACTGCAAGTGGTGCTGTATTTTGTTTATTGGGGTCAATGAAAGTTTGCTAAAAGTAATAGGTACAAGCCATGTGATTATAATTAAAATTGACATTACCAGATAACAATCAATTGACTTGTGCATACAGGCAAGGCATCAGAGAACATATCAAGAAATTATCTTTCTGATATGGTTTCTGATTAGTTTGAAGAGGATAAAAGCAGAGGACCGGGCATTCCTTATTCATGATCTATATTCAAAAGTCCCCTACTGTTAATGTCCTTATTGACCTGAACTTTCGGAAGGAAAAAATTGACCAAAGTGGAAACTAGTTAAAAATGAACAAACAGTGGATATGAATCTTCACAAATACAAGTTCAAATGTTTTATCCAAGTACGTTGACATTGGAACAGAGCTTTTTATGATAAGCATATGTGAAAAATGGGTAATGGTCATTTGGATTTTCACATCTTGACCTAGGTTGATCCTGGATGAGCTAGCTTCTCCACAAAGTTTTCTTTTTTCCTTTTTTCATAAAAGTTTAGAGTGAGGAAGGTTTCCTCCTTTTAGAGTCAAGATTAGCAAGCTTCAGAAAAGATTTATATTAAAATTTCAAATCGATCACCAAAAAAGATCTTTGGTGACTGCTGGTAATAGATCTCCGAATTTAAATTTTATAAGTAAAGTATTCAAATTTTATTAATTTAATCAATCTTATTTACATTTTGAGCCCAACACGGTTGGAAAATCATTGTACAGAATATAACCCGGAAAGAAAAGAATGATTCCAAAATGTGTCCAAACCGTAAAAGCAACTTGATGGATGAAGAAATAGAAATTCCCGCTACCATTTCAACTACAGGAAGGAAGCAAAGGAAAGAAAAACCCTGGAAACATGTAAACAGATTCAGAATAGGGGCGGCCTAATTTCATGATTGGTCGCTGAAGCTTTCTTGTGGTGCTTATCTTTTTTCTTTTAATCACGTGGTACATAAAGCCAGGTTCAATAGTCAACACAACAGCCTCATTTGTTGTTCTCAAGATAATCATGAATCGCTGTAATGCACAGTAAAGCTTACCCAATTCTCATACTTGGTCAAAACGGCATTCGGATTTCACAATATACCACTCTGGCTTTTCAATTCCCATTACCATGTTTAAAAAAAAAAAAAAGCACCGAAAAGCATCTATCTATTAAGATTCTGTCACAATTCTCAATGTAATAATGCCTATCAGATTTTGTTAAATCGATAAATATTAAATATTTTATTTATAAAATTTAGATTTGATTTTTATCATATTTATAATTTATTTTGATCTTGAATTGAAAAAGCTTTTTCTTATTTTTAATTTTTTAAATTAAAAAATTAAATAATAATAAAATCCCAATTCCGACCTTAATCAATGTGACTTTTTCTTTAAGTCATGATTAAAATTTCAAACATGCAAGGTGATGGACCTTGCTTGAAAGTCAGACAAATTTTGAATTGGTTTGAGCCTTAGAGGAAACGAAAGCTATATAATAACGAACCGTTTAAAGTTCATAAAATATTTTTAGTTTGACCCCATTTTTTAAAATATTTTAAAGAGTATATATATATATATATATTTTTAATATCAACTTTATTTTTGAAGTATTTTTTATAAAAATTAATTTTAATTGATAAAAAAATTATTCCCTTATCAATTGAATTAATCTATTCAAACATTTTATTTTTATGTTCAAAATTTGTATCTCCAAACACCGACAATTCAGCCACATCCAAAACTTGCTTTCAGGCTGTTTCCAATAATAATTTTTTCAAGGGCCGGCCGAAAAGTTTGAGCAAACACTAACTGTCTCGTACAAAATACAGATTATCGCAGAAAGTTTGTAACGCGGTTTTAAAAAAAAAAAAAAAACCCGAATACGACATCGTTTGTCCAAGGATAAGTAAATTTCCTTCCGCGTTAAGTCATTTGGGCCCACACAGCTCAACCGCAATATAACCGTCGGATCATTCATCAATGTCCCGATTGTGAACAACCTTTCCAACAAAAATAAAATTTCAGTAGTAGAAAGTAGTCTTATCTTTTTCGCTCTTATCCGGAGCGCCGTTAACCCCATGTAAGTTGGTAAAATATCTCTTATCCTGCGCCATATCACCGAAATTTCCCTCACGCGTCGACAGCGCGTGATCCACGTAAACTTCGACAACTGCATTTCCAGCTTTCCTTTCCCTCTTAAAACCTCCCCAGAGTCTCTCATTATATCTAAATCTTCTGATAAGATCCTTATTCTGTTTAAATCTTGTTCGATTAAGAATTTAATCAAATTAAGAAAAATCATACTCATTTTGGATATACAAAAGAAAAGGAGTAATCTTTTGTTGATTTTCTTGTTCTTGGTTTAAAGAAGATGGAAAACAAAGCGGCGGTGAGGTTTACGGTAGGGAGGCAATCGTCGATGGCACCGGAGAGAGGAAGAGGCGAACTGGATCGAAAAGAGAAAGAGGAAGGAGAAGAGATTGACGGAGGAGTTAGACTTATGTATTTAGCAAACGAAGGTGACTTAGACGGCATTCGTGATCTCTTGGAGTCGGGTATCGACGTAAATTTCCGGGACATCGATGATCGGACCGCTCTCCATGTTGCTGCCTGTCAAGGACAGACCGACGTCATATCCTTGCTCCTTCAACGTGGCGCCAATGTCGAATCTAAAGATCGCTGGGGAAGCACTGTAAGCAAGAAAAACCGCCACCTTTTTTACCTTTTCTTTTTAAAAAACCTTTTTTTCGTATATTTATATATATATTTTTGGTTAAATAGCCTTTGGCGGATGCTATATATTATAAGAATCATGATGTGATTAAGCTTTTGGAGAAACATGGAGCTAAGGCTTTGGTAAGTTTTTGAATTTTCGATTTGAAATCTTTTTCTTTTTTGCTATTTTTTATTGATGTTGATTGTTTAATTTTGGTTAAAGATGGCTCCAATGCATGTAAAACACGCGCGTGAAGTCCCAGAATATGAAATTGATTCAAAAGAACTTGATTTTACTAACAGCGTCCACATTACTAAGGTAAGCTCTTTTCTAATTATATGCCATTGATTCGTAAGAGTTTAAATCATGGTTATACATATGGTTAGTTTTATTGGGGAATTGAGGAAATCTTGGGGACTAGTTAATATTGGCCACATTGCAGTGATAAGGGGGAAACAATTTTGCATTGGACTTGTTTCTCTAACATAATGCTAATAAAAAATTGTGAACAATACTTGGACTTTTGAAATAGTGGCCTTGTTCGTTGTACTGTAAGCTCTTTTGTTTCTTCTAGTTGTGGACTTGTGGTATGTTTGAGTGGGCAATGGGGAATCGGTACATGACGAATTAAAGAGAACTTTTTTCTTTTGTTTTTTGCATAGAGCTAAGAGTTTCGTTATTTATGCAACGCAGTTGTGATAAGAGACACATAAAGGCCAATTAGGCAAGTCTATGAGCAAAGTGCCTACTGAAAACTTAGGCTGTTTTTCTAACTTCATGTTGCATATACAATTATACATGCAACTGTCAACTCATAATCTTATGAGCCTGTGCTTTTGCATCTTAAATTTTTCACTTAGCTGCTGCTGATCTAAGTCATCTCTATGACTAAATTGCAGGGAACCTTCTGTATAGCATCATGGCGTGGAACACAAGTTGCTGTAAAAAAGCTTGGGGATGAAGTTATTACTGATGAGGATAAAGTGTAAGTTTTCAGAAATTGAAGGTTTTCTTCCACTCTTTTCTTTTTTTTTTTTTTTTTTCTGGAAGGGGGGCATGGGTGAGAGAGGGTAGGAACTGAAGAGGGGGGTTGGCATATTTTTGCTTTATATACTTTTCTCTTTTGTTGTGGTGGGTATTTAGGTCTTGGACCTTTTGTTGGGTATCCAAATCCTAGCGCCTGATGCCTGCCTTTGGCTTAAGAAACCTTGGACTAGGCCTGGGTCCTTTTCTTCCCTTAAAATATGATGTATGAGTTGTTTGGTATTTTTTCAGGAGGGCATTTAGAGATGAGCTTGCATTATTTCAGAAAATTCGACATCCAAATGTAGTCCAATTTCTTGGTGCGGTAACTCAAAGTAGTCCCATGATGATTGTGACAGAATATTTACCAAAGGTTTTAATCCATCATCTTATTTGCTATCATGCATCAATGGACTCTCTTTCTATGAATAATTTACCTCTGTCTGACTTTTGGGCTTGCTGATGTGGATCTCAACTTGTTGTGAACTTGGGTTGTTACGAATTCTTTTTGTTGTGTATGAAATGTTTGTTAATTCATTCATAGGGAATCATAATGCCATATCTTTACTTTGTTTTGTTAACTTTTGTTCATTATAGAGAGTAAAATTAAAGATGAATATAGGATTTTGTAAAATATTGGCCTTAAAGCTATCTCTAAGCTTTTCTTTTTCAAATATAAATTGATCATTAGGAATTGGCATTTGAGATCATGATTCACTCTTTGTTTTCAGGGAGATTTACGAGCATTTTTGAAGATAAAAGGAGCATTGAAACCAATGACAGCTCTGAGATTTGCACTTGATATCGCAAGGTTTATTATTGTATTTTTGCAGTGGACCTGATTATTGTTGCTTGAGTATGCCACATTGACAAATGGTTTTTTTTCCTTGTCATAAATGGACAGTTAGATTTCAACTTTGATTTGAGAGTTACTGCTAATTGTAAATGAGTATATATTCTGTTACATGGTATGCTATCTTTGTGAAGAATATGAACAGGCGAATATTAAAGGTGCAAAATGATGATACATTAGTGTAGGGGAAAAAATGGTGGTGACACATAATACTGTGCTTGCTGGTCTTAGGTGATTGTAGTTGAGACGATGACTACAAAACTTAAGTTTAGAGTTAGGTGAAAGAAATAAAACTGATCCTCAAGGATGATCTTGAATATTAACATATCTTCCACAATTTTGCAGGGGAATGAATTATTTACATGAGAATAAACCAGCACCAATAATTCACCGAGATCTTGAGCCTTCGTAAGTTTTCTTGTTGAGATGGGTTTTTCTTTTCCTAACAAATGTATTTCCAGCAACAAGAATTAGCTTTAGGTCACTATAAAAGACTTGTCTGCCTTAATTTTCTGAAATGGTCAGCACCTTTTATGTGCTTACAATTGAAATAACAGAAACATTTTGCGGGATGATTCGGGACATCTGAAAGTCGCAGATTTTGGAGTTAGCAAGCTGCTTACTGTTAAAGAAGATAAACCTCTAACTTGTCTAGACACATCTTGTGAGTTCTCTTTCTATTTGGTTCTAGTTATCCTCATTATTGCTATTTTACATATTTAAGTAGTCATTTTTCCAAAGCATCTGGATAAGTGGAACTTTATCTTGTATTTGACAAACTCTTTTCTCTGTAAGCTGAAACATTTTAGTTGTTAATTGACACAGGCCGATATGTTGCTCCAGAGGTTTTCAATGATAATGACTATGATACCAAAGTAGATGTGTTTTCATTTGCTCTAATCCTACAGGAGGTAATTTCTTTCAGGCTTATGATCAGTAAATGTATGAAGTTTTGAGTCAACTGCATACCTGATTATCAAGAAGGATATTTCTGAACAAAGGATTTTTGTTTTACACGGTGTTTTGAAGAAAAAGCAGAATTTATGATAGGTATACCCATTTTTACTTGTTCTTAACCATGGTTAAGAACTACCTTCATTGTCCAAGTTGTTGGTGCACTACTTCCGGTGAGTAGTAGTTGAAGTATGTACAGGAAATCTTGGAGGATAGTAAATATTTTTGGCAAATATTTATAAATAACCTGAATATTTCTAAGGTTATTTGAAATAGCAATTATGAGTCTAGGTTTTCTGAGAAGTTGGCAGTTGCAATTCATCACTCTATCTTGCCTGGAAATGTTAAGCTGGACAATTTCCTTATTCATTTTTTCTGCTCTGATTTAAGACAAAAAAATATTGGGAAGGAGTTAATTTGGCTAAGGTTTGACACTTGTAAATAATTAGCTGGGCATTACAAGTTCATTTCTATTTTCACTTTTTCCCATAAAACAAGGAAAGCCACAATGAGGTTTTAGCTTTGCTTCTCTGCTTAATCCCCTTTCTTGTGTTGGGGGTGTTGTCCTGCTTTTTTATTTGTTTTTCTTTTTATTCTTTTTTTTTTTTTTTGTTAATGATCACAACAGGATTGCAAAGTGATTTTATTGTGCTATACTGTAGATGATTGAAGGCCACCCACCATTTTCTGCAAAGCAAGACAATGAAGTTCACAAGGCATATGCATCAAGGGAGCGTCCGCCTTTCAAAGCTCCGGCTAAGCATTATGCCCATGGGCTTAAAGAGTGAGTACTACATTTTGCCTTATTCAATAATAAGTAGAGTTACTTTGGGCCTGTCTTTTTAGCCTTATTGCTTTGAGGACCCTAGCATTGTGGTTTGTAACAAGCTGTAGGCTTTTAGTTTGTCGTCAAATTTAATTCTTGGTTCTAAATTTGGAATATACACGCTTCCATATGGCACCACACCCATATCCACATGCATGCATAACTGTAAAAATTTAATCCTTATGCTTTTCTGAAAGGATGTTTTGTGTGAAGGTATCTGTAATCTTTTGGAGAAATTTTAATTCTGTGAATTAACCTTAAGCATATTAGTCACCACATCTCATTTCTGTGTCCGGGTGACATATGCATCTAGGGGCCCGACATAGATATATAAAACATATACTAATGTATGCTTCTGACTACAGGTTAATTGAGGACTGTTGGAATGAGAAGCCTGCTAAGAGACCTACATTCAGACAGATTATAACAAGACTGGAATCCATTCACAACAGTTTCAGTCATAAAAAGTGGTGGAAGGTATCCTCTCTTTCTTCAAATCCCCATCCTGCCATTCTCTCACACAGATATTGCCTTTAGAGGCACTTGTATTGGAAGCTAATTATCAAATAATAAGGCAAATAGCTATTGAAATTTTGTGTGAGGGAGTAGTTCTTCTTAATCCATGCTGTATAAATTATGACGCCAAATGAAAGGTCAGAAATGGGCAAAATATGAGTGTATCCTGAGTGCCAGTTTCACAAAAATTGCTGAATTTCCTGTTTGATAGCCATCAGATCTAGGTCAGTAGTTCAGGTGATGATGGTTCACGGCTAGTCTTTAGTAAACTGGCGAATCTTTCTTTGCTTGTGTCAAGTACCAGCATCTTGATCTGTTGGCTGGAATTGATGGCCTAAATGTCTGTCAATTTGGTCTATTGTTTTAGTCCCTTTCACAGTTATGTTTCAATCATTTTTGCAGGCCTGTGCATTCCTTTACCATTAAGTTGACAAGTTTTCATTATGGGTGCTTGCAATATGTACAGGTTAGGCCACTAAAATGCTTTCAGAATCTGGAGGCAATGCTGAAGAAAGATCACTCTAGTCCAACCAGTCGTAGCTTTTCGTCACATTCCACTGGCAGCATATGAGTCCGATAGTTTATTTTCCAAAGCTTATAATTGTGCATAAATTTTCACGTTCACTTGTTAATCAGTTTGTTGGCTAAAAGACCAAGTTGTATAATCAGAGGAGCATACCATTTTTTTTCTTTGCTAATTTGTTTGTAGTCCTTGAATTTGATATCTTTCAGATTTGTTCTCCCAACGGAGAACTACATTTGTATCACTCCATAGCATTGTATCTTTTCGTGTACATTATGTTATTATAATCCAATATTTTACAAATTTTAAACAATTCAGCTTTTATTCAATTCTTTGATAATTTCAAATACTAAAAAACTGGTCTCTAAGGTATGAAGTAATAGGTTGAACTCAATGGTTCTCCCATTGGCATCCCCCTAAAAAAAAATGAAAATCACCGGTTCTTGAACTTGATGATGAATTTTCTTTTTCTCCCTAGACTACTACTCAAATCTAATTAAAGGTAAAAAACATGGTACATAAATTCAAAAGAAACAGAACACTCAAGGAAAAGAAAAACCTGTTTGGCCTAGTGAATTATGATCATTCGTAGTTACTTGTAGAGGAACATTTAATAAGTGTAATGTTTAAATTTCGATATTTGTAATTCTTTCTTTAAAGTTACGAATGCTTTGGTAAAAAGAAAATTGATACTTGTTTGGTGTTAAAAATTTGACAAGAATTTAGTGGAAATTTGGTTTGGATTGGTTTTTCACCAAAATTTGAACTTCTAATCTCAATTTTCTTGAATAAAAATATCAATCCTCGTGGAAAGTGATGGTTGAAGAAATCGACTTGGCTTGAAACCGACAGATTCATGGATGGCTCACCTTAATACCAACTGACGTGAAAGCATCGTTTTATTTATCAAATTCTTTTTTTTTTTTTTACAAAAAAAAAAATTTAGAGTGAGGGAAGGTTTCAAGATCAGGTAAATTGTAAGCTTTAAAAATAATCTACTTTAGATTTATAAATTGTCTAAAAAAAAAATTGTTGACAAGGAAACTCAAATCTAAATTTTGTAAGCAAAATATTAAAATCTTTCTAAATTAACCAATCTTGTTAGCTTGTCGGTTTATAGATTTTTACGAATTGCGTAACCCATGGAATCCAATGAATTTCTATATCTCAACTGCTTTGAGCTTTGGGGGGTAAGTTTCATAACATCTGTCTTCTAACCTTGAGATTGGAAAAGCTTATGATATGTCCCTGGATTTCTTTTAACAAACAAAAATTGTACAGGAAATTAAAGTTAATTAACAAAATGAAGTAGGCACATTTTGTAACCTGAAACATAAATTTTTGTCTAATCTTACCATAGTAAGCACACATGACTAAAAAGAAATGAAAAGCATGCTATGATTTATGGGGGAAAAGGGAATACATTCAACATTTTTGGCTTTCATAACCAAGAAAAAAAAAAAAAGCTATAGTGCAAGAGTAAGAACTTACAAGTTACAACACCAAACTAGAAACATAAGAAAGAAAAAGAAATCAATTACATTCATATATGAAGCTAGACATGTTCAAGATGTGTCTCCTTGATTACTCCAAGTTAGTGTATAACTGAAAAAGAGGGGAAACATGTATCATTGTATAAGAATAGTTGCTCAAATTTCTAAACCCAACAAAAGAGATGATGGAAAACTTTCTAAGATTCTTTAAAACAAGATTTTTAATAGTTGGGAGCTTTGGCCACCATTTTTGCTGCTCAACTTCATTTAGCTTTATGCCATCAACCGATGATCACATGGGGGCCCGTGAATGGCTGAAAGAGATTTTTCATTGTTGAAGTTGGGATATTGAAACCCTAACCAGGGATTCATTATTCATTGACTTGAACCTAACATACCCCCTTCATATTATTGAACACCTTGAAGTACTTATCCAAGACAATTTCACAAAGCTTGGCAGCACAGTTTCTAGATTGGGAATTGCCATTAAAAAGCCTTTGGGACCACAACTTGATTAATGTGTAGGACCCTTTTGTGGGATCATTATAGAATGCATTTATGGGATTAGATATTGCATTGAAAGTATTCACCTATAATAATCATTCTATTGGAAATGTTGCTTAATTTTTGGTCCCTTAATATTTCATAGAGAATGTTTTAGATGTATTTGGTAGGATTTTATTTCCCCTTTGCCTTGTAGTATTCCTCTAAAGAAAAGAATCCATGGTATGAATTGGAAGTGGTCCAATGTTTGTTTATAACAGAAAGGAAAAATCAAGCAAAAAACAAGTAAATTTCTTTCCTTTTTTCAGCTCAACATGTTAAAACCTCTTGTTGTAATCGTTCTGTTGGTCTGCACCGTTTTTGTGAAACACAGCTAGCCAAAACTAAAACCTTCTAAGAGGTTGGATCAATCAATTTATTTGAATTTTGATTTTGACAAAACCACAACTGCTATTTCGTTTTCAACAGGAGAAGAAAACTCTTGTTATCTCTCCCCTTTTCATCAATAAATAAAGGGTTTTTACCTTTTTTTATACAAAAGATCGCAGTTTGAAAATAATAAAAAATTTATTGACACTAGATTTGAACTCTAAATCTGTTGGTTATTGTCATATAAACCAAATGAATTAAGCTTTGAGTTTGTTTTACCTAATTTAGTTTTCATTACCAAATATATGTTAAAATCTTCAACAATTAGATATTTTTCTCAAAAGATAAATATTCATAAAAATTACTATTTATCATACATATGCTAAGTATCATAAAAAAAAAAAATCTTATTCCCGGTATAGTTTTAAGGGAAAATTTTTTTACATTTGACATTTTTGAAATGTGAAGTAAGAGAGAAAAGAGGACATAGTTACCATGTGGTCCTCATGTAGATATGGAGAAGATTTTCTTGCCTCGATCCACAAAGGGAGAGCAGTGGCAATCACTGCATCCTTTCTAGTTTAGAAATCAGAACGTTTAGACTTGAAGCCATGAATAGAAAGTGGACTCAAAGTTTTGTGCAAGGTTCATATGCCAAACTATAAAGCAAGAGAGGAAATAGTAAAGAAAATGGATGGATGCTTTCTTTCTTCTTGATCACGTAGTTAATATTCCTTGATTGCACCATTACATTGAAATTTCGGTGAAGAATATTGTTAATTAGTGTTTTTATGGTACCAAATTAAGACATGATCATGCATTAAATAAAGAGTTTTTTTTTTGCAGATGAAGAGGGGACAAAAGAGCTAGTCTTCCAAGGAAAATATGTTTGACTTTTGCTTCTAATGGTAAAGAATGATTTGCTTTGGCTCAAGATTTGTATCATTATCAATCTCATCTTCTAAGTTAAAATTAATTAATAGAGAACCACAACCGTCTCTTCTTTTTTTTTTTCTTTAATAATTGAAGTTGTCAGAAATTGAATCTGATCATTAAAAAATTTTCACATCTTTTTAAGCTTAAATAATCAGCATATTTAAAGAAGGAATAAAACCTCATTTAATCTACCAATTTTTTTCGATTCCAAGAGTTTCCCAATTCTTGTTATGGTAGAATGACAACTCCTCCAAAATGATTGTCGACCATTGGCATTTCCCAACTTGCAAGTTTGCAACAAACATGTAAAAAAGTAGATTAATTTATATTAATAAACAATTAATAATTTACTTGTTACCATAGAGTTTTCGATTTGCAAGTGTTAAAAATCGAATTTCAATCTTACAATAATAGATATTTAAATCACTAATCTTTTGTCATAGCTAAAACTTTAACAAGATTATTTTCTAAAATTAAGAAAATTATCCATGTGATAAAAATAGATTGCTTTCTAAGAGTTGGATTGTTGAATCTCAAAATTTGAACAATCATTAAGTTTATTTAATGCCTAATTAGTATTTGTATTTACCCTAAAATACAAGTACTAATAATTAATAATTTTTGGGTGTTTTAAGAGTGTAAAATTTTAAATTTTAATCATTAAAATTAAAAGTTTAATATTCTATCAACAAGTCACGCGACCTATTAGCTAATAATTAATAATATTGATGGAAAGTCGAAGTAGTCTAAAAGTCACTATCTAAACCAACTTCACTCATGTCCTCTGTCATCCATAAGTTAGGCTTGGAATAGTTTAAAATTGTTATTATATTGCATTCTATTTATTTTCTTCATTCCAAATAAAATATTACACTTTACTTTGATGAATCAAAGAAATTGATAAAATTTTTAATATTTTTAACTTAAATTTTTGAAAAAAAATCCCTAAATTTATGAAAATAAAATAATTTTTAAGTTGAAAATACCAAAAAAAAAAAAGGAATAGTGGAAGTTCAAAGTTTAAACAAGAAAACAAACATTGTTTAGAGACATTGCAATTGATGAAAAGTATGTAAGACACATAAAATTTAAAAGTTAACGTGTAAATTGGTCTTTAAAACTATATTACTTTTCATAATTTGGTACCTATAAAAAAACAAAAATTAACAATTTGGTACCTTAATTTTGCTTCCATCAAGCACTTCGCACCATTTATTAATGATGTTTAGTAAAATGATGATATGCCGAATATTAATCAACGAAAATGCATCATGTGTCATGATTTTATTTACTAATTTCTTGTCACATCAACATATTATTAACGGTGTTGATATTTGAGGCGAATAAGATGACAAAATAAAAATCGAAATATTAAATTATGATTTTTTGTATAAATATCAAATCGTGAAAAATTATATAATTTAGAAGCCAAATTAGATATTAATTCAAAATTTAAACAAGAATAATATAAATGACAAAAAGCTATCTATAACACAAAGAACAAGCATAAAAAGATTGAAAATACTAGTAATTAACAGACAATAAGAGTTCCCCTTTGTACTTTTGTTTACTCTATTTTCCATCCTTTATTCACACTAAGATTTTATATCCTTTCAGTCTCTCCTTGCTTGCAACTTAGCCTAACGCCTTTATTCACCACCATGAATAATCCCTTTCAAAAGGTCCCTCTCTCTCTCTCTCTCTTTCTCTCTGTCTCTAATGCATTGCCCTCCTTTCATTCACATGAAAAAGAAAAAAAAAATTAATGGTTAATGAAGTCTGAACCTTACAATTGACTATCATTTCTTATTATTCCTTCAGCTTTACTATATAATACACCACTTAGAAGAGGAAGAAGAAGAGGAAAAAAAACCAAAACCAAATACTAGAAAAGATAGGTAGTGGTTGTTTACTTTTATAAATAGAGACCTCTCAACCCTTCCTGCTTCCATATTCTGCAACTCTTCTGGTCATATTTGTAGCAAAAAAGAAAAGAAGAGAGAAAAACCTCAAAACCCTTTTTTTTTTTGTTTCTGTTCTTAATTGTCATACTTGTCCTTTCTTTCCTTTCCTCTCCAGGTTAGTCAGCTATAAACTGAAACATAATCCTTCTAATCATTTTCATTGCTTCACTTCTTTGGGGTTTCAATCAATTTTTTTTTTTTCACTTCACACCCATCCAATCTTAGCTCTTCTTGATCATCACCATATGAGCTTACTTGATTTTATACATATATATATATATATGTATGTATATATATATATATATATTTATAGTTTTGCTAACGTTTTCTTTTCCTGAAAACTTAGCAGCAAGATAGTAAATGTTGTTTACATTTAGATGGTGTTTGTTTTAGAGATCTTTCTTTGCTTTATCATGGATTTTTCTCTTTGTTCAGTTAGCAACCATGGTGTACCCTAATGAATCCCGGGAGACCCCTCTCCAGAAGAAAATGGGAAGGGGAAAGATAGAGATCAAGCGGATCGAAAACACAACGAATCGTCAAGTCACCTTCTGCAAGAGGCGCAATGGTTTGCTCAAAAAGGCTTATGAGTTATCAGTTCTTTGTGATGCTGAGGTTGCCCTGATTGTCTTCTCCAGCCGTGGCCGTCTCTATGAGTATGCTAATAATAGGTTTGCAGCTCTAATTTCATCTTTACAAGTTTATCACCCTTTTTTCCTTCCTGTAACCAAAAAAATTTCCATCAGTTTTTAAGTTCAAAGGGGATTTTGTTTTGAAAAGTAGAATGAAAATTTTGTCAGAAAGAGATATTGGTGTCAGCTGGGTGAAGATTTTGGTTTTGAAACAGATCTTTGTGTTGATTTAAGTAAAAGAGATTAATTATTAATATAATTTTTATATATTTTGGTAAGGCTAGATTGAATCCTCTCAAACTAAGATTCACTTGTCTTTCTTTCTTCTATTTTTTTTTTTACTTGTTTAAGCTTTTGGCTTTTGAGCTCTTTTTTTTTTTCTTTTTTGCAAGCTGTTTACAGATGTGGTGCAATAGATAGAAATAGAGAAGAGCCTGTAAGAATATAATATGTTTGCAGGCCTGTGAGATCATCCTCCTTTCTCCTCCATTGTTGTTAAAAGTTTCTGTTTTTGAGTCTTTCTCTTTTGTCTTGGCTGAGCCTGTGTTAACCATGGGGCTAAGATAAGGGCCTAAAACAAAGTTGTCATGCTTCCATTAGCTCCAAGCTCTCTTGACACTTCCTTAATAACATGTCAGTACTTAAACAACAAGAAAGCAAAAGTACTTACCCCATCTCAGAAATCTCATTAGGGTTTCCAAAACCCAGATTTTTGTTTTCCATTGGAAACATGTTAAGACTCCATTTTCCAACCAATTACAGCCGAATCAAGCCTCAACTAATCACATCAAAATTAGGGTTCTTCTGACACGAAATTTCCCTAAATCCCACTTTGCACCACGTGAGTTCCCCTTCTTCTCAGTCAAGCATAACCAAATTAGGGTTTTTTATTTTTATTATTAACCAAACGAGGCTAACAACTCGCCCCAAGACTTTTAATTGGTAAACCGTAAAATCAAGTGAAGTAATATTTCCGCAACCAATCACAACGTACTCACCAAAATTTTACATTTTGCTTTCTTTTTTATCAGCCCTTGGTTTTCTTTTTGGTACTGTTAAGTCTATCTAGGGTTTTCATGAGATTAGGTTGGTTTTTTGCCTTGGTTACAGAATCTTTTGGTCACGTCACGCATGATTTTTTCAGGTTCTTGACTACTGACAAATGGGTTATTTGACAAGATTCCATAACTGGGTTTCTCTTCTTTTTTTTTTTTTTCATCATTTCAATCCCAAATTTATCTTAGATATGAGACATGGATCAAATACCAAACAGCCCCCCCCTTTTTTTTTTCTATCTGTCTTCTCACATCTCTCTTTCTCACTCTGGTAAAATTCTTTTACAAAAGCTAATTCTGTGGAAAAAGAGTGGATTGAGCCAATGAAAATATAGTTCAACTGCTGAAAGGGTCATCATCATTATAATGACTCACTGTTGGCATTATAAGGTGAAGCTTTGCGGTTTGCATTTGTTGAAGATCTTGCATAGATATATTCGTGCAAGTTTAGAGAGAGAGAGAGTACTGGGGAAAAAAAAAGTAGAAAAAAGTGAAGTCAGCAGTGTTGTTTCAAAGAGACAACGTACGACAACTGCGAGCCAATGGGAGAGTTCTGAGCTTTTGGCCTTTTGCCGAAAATGTAACTATGGCTGCCGAAATGGACGCCATGATGTACTCAGAGTTTCAGACAGGACAGAAGCTCAAATAATCTCTTTTGGCTTTTGCTTTAGCCCTTTAAAATATTATTAAAACCTTAGATTTTTACACTATTTTTTTTATATCAAACGAGGTGGTTAATAACTAAAACAACGTTGGACTTAAGAGTATTATCCATTGCGTAATGGGCTTCTGACACCTGGCACAAGTTTTGACCATAGAAAGCTCTGAGCCAATCATACTGTTAGAACAGTGTCAGCGTAGCTGAGACAGCCAATCACGGGCTCGACGAAATTAAGGTATCAGCACCATCGAGGAAATTTAAATAGTTGGGGTGACTAGGGTCTTATCAAGTAAATAAACTTGGCTATTCATGGTTTCGTATTAGAATCAGTTAACTGAGAAAGTTGGTTGATTTGACCATTAAGCTACCCATTAGGTATAATGATGATAATGTTCCAATCAGAACACTATTTGCTTTATTATAAACTTGATTCAGTGTTTCAATTTTCTTTTTAGTTGAAAATTCTTCCCACATGGTGACATTGCCACAGATTGGTAATATTGTTCTCACAAAAGCATTTCATGAATGTTTTGTAGATCTTCTTAGTCTGAGGTCATTACGACAATTTCGCTAAATTTAGCCTGGTTTTGTAATGCAAGTGCCGAAGTTTTATAATTCCATTACTGAATAGTGATGTAGATTTATTAACAGGGTAATATCTTGTGATGTTGCTCATCTAATTTTATCTATGAAGAACCTTCACGGTTCACATTTCTTCTGGGAGCAGTTCTCTTTATGTTTCATGGAATACCTTGATGTGTTTATATATATAGTTGTGAAAGATTTCACATATTCTAGATTTTACATATTCTAACATCTCATCTAATTGATAAATTAATGTAGTAAAAGTAACCACTTACATGTAGACATTCATTCATAGCATTATCTGTATTATGTGCCTTGATTGTAGATTTAATTTGTTTTATGTAATTAACAATGTTTGAAGTGTTAAAACAATAATTGAGAGGTACAAAAAAGCTTCTGCAGATTCTTCCAATACTGGGTCAGTTTCTGAAGCTACTGCTCAGGTATAAAGTCATCAATCTCTCTTCTTTTGCTTTTCTTTTACATATTGGAATACATAGAATTATAAAATAAAAAGTAACCCTCTTTTTTCATTTAGATGTCCCCATGAGAACATCAATCATATATATTTATAAAGTCACATAAATGAAACCATAATGGATGAGTGGCAGTATGGATAGGAGAAATTGATTAACTTCTGATTGTCATGATAAAATAGTCTTTGTTTACAATCACAAGTCCCCCACACCCTTGAGTTCTGTATTATTACATGTTTTTTGTTAAGATATAATTGTGCATCAAAACTAAATTGTATCTCATTGTCTAAAGTTTCATCTTAAATGCAGTTTATGAAAATTGGAAAGCTCAGGTTTTGTGTATATTTAGTTTTTTTTTTAAGGAAAAATTTGAGTTTAATTATAAACATTAAGACAAGTTAATTACGAAGAAAAAAGAAAAACCTTATGCTAAGTACAAATTAAAGCCTATTTTCATATGAAAAATCTCACATACTTAAGTGGTATACATTCAATTCTAGTTATTGATGACATGAGTTAAACTAATTCCATGCGGATGTAAATCTCAGTTCTACCAGCAAGAAGCTGACAAACTACGCAAACAAATTCGAAATTTGCAGGATACAAACAGGTTATCTCATGGGATCTTCATTCGGTTCCATCATTCATGATTTTGTTTTGGAACCCTTTTCTTAAACAATGCTATATGTTTTCAGGCATATGGTAGGTGAGTCACTGGGATCATTGCCAATGAAAGATCTTAAGAGCTTGGGGACTCGTTTAGAAAAAGGACTTAGCAGAATCCGTGCCAAAAAGGTCTCGTCTCTAACTGACATTTTATATCTCTAAAAATAATTCCTTCAAAATGACGATGCAAAATTTGATTTTTATTCCTAGGTTTGCGATTGCCACTGACAATTTTCCCTTTTTTTTTTTAATTTTCTTCCTCTAAATTCTACCAGAATGAGCTGCTGTTTGCAGAAATTGAGTATATGCAGAAAAGGGTAAGAATTTTTGGCACTCATGTTGCTCTTTAAATCACATTTAATCGAAAATTATTAATTGCCTGAGTATGGTATAATGCAATAATTTTGCCAACTTAGCGATGGCCATCAGTTAAAAGGGATCCGAAAGGTATGGGGTGATCTCTTTATACTGATGCATGATGTATCAGAATATGTCTATTTTTGTTTTTATCTTGTGATTAGTACAAAAAGCCTGAAATACAAGGAGCTATAGCTTCTGATGGTGGAGCTTTCAGTAGTCCAAATATGGCAAATTTCGAGCTCCATTTACTTAATTACTGATAGAAATACAAGCAGTTCCATCTTAACCTGAAACTTTTGTATTCCAACTGTATGCAATACTATATTTAATCCCTTCACGGATAAAATTGTACTTTTTCCTTAGATTTATAATGCCTTGATCTGGCAAAGGAATGCCATATAGGAATCGTGCATACTATTTTTTTAAAACCATTTCACAAGGCTACCTGATAATGCTATTCTTTTTTGTTGACAAAATTGTCCATTGCAGGAAATTGACTTGCAAAACAATAACCAACTTCTCCGAGCAAAGGTTCTCTCTTTTCTTTCCTTTGTGAACGAGTGGTGCAGTACTGTTTTGCTGTCTTTGTATTTAGCAATCATAGAAACATTAATGACTCGAGGACCTCTTTACTTTATGCTGCAGATAGCTGAGAATGAAAGGAAGCAGCAGAACATGAATTTGATGCCAGGAGGGTCTAACTTTGAGGTCATGCATTCTCAGCCTTTTGACTCTCGGAACTTCTTTCAAATCAATGCGTTACAACCCGCTAATCATTACCCCCATCAGGACCAGATGGCTCTTCAATTAGTGTAAGAATCTTTCACATCATTTTTTTGGGGGACAATGCACATCAAAATTACATAATCATCATGCACCATTTACCGTATTTTTCATGAAACAACACATGATCCGTAGCCCGCCATCCCAGAGTTTTATCATATATCTCAATATTTCATCATGGAAATGTTAATTATTAAGACATAATGATGATTCTAAATGACCATATATAATGGAAACAATCCCATTTGACGTTAACAAGTTGTTTCTATGCCTGTGCAGCTAAGATTCTGGTGAATTATGTGGTGCTTTCTACTGTTTCTGGTTTAGTGAAGAACACCTTAGTATTCTGTTAGATGAAAGCTACCAGTATCATGAAAATGCTATAAGGGCAGGAATCAACTTCCATTAAATAGAGTACCGTAAAATTGTTCTGCCATTTTTTAGCTATGTATAGTGTGTAAGACTGATAAGCATGTTTGTCGGACAAGAAGTCTTCTCTTCCATATGTTTAGAATCCTTTCATATATATACTGGCATGTTTACATTATCCGTAGTTTTTTTACTAATGTCTATTTTTCTTTGCTGTCTCAAAATTTAGAGTTGAATTTAAAGGTCAGGAACAAACACAAAGACAAGATTTGTGTCCTTTAACTTTCAGTTTTTGTAGTTTCTAGTTCCTAGAAATCATGAAAAGTTCACTGCCATTAGTTTTATACAGATACCCTTAAAACCCAAGTCTGGTTAATGAAAATGGAGTTATTATATAATATATCCCACAAAAATCTTTCTCCTAAAAGTGCCGCAATTATTATTTTTAGAGTCTCGTGTACTCTGATCAGGTGTTCCAAAACCAAAAGCCATTGAGCATTATAACTGATGATACAAACCAAAATTTTACATTAATTACTTTCACAAAGATACATCCAGAAATGATGAGGCTTTTTTAGACTCTGATATTCGAAACTATAATGAAATGCCACTTCCCTTAGAAAACATTGACACACTAATGATTGTAACAAAATTAGAAACTATAGAAAAATAGTGTGAATAATATGATATGAATAATCTATCATTTATTTATAAATTATTATTATCCCATCAAAGTCTCATCTCCATCTTCAGAGCTGTGCAAGACGGCGGATATCAATCGGGTAAGCATCGGAGGAAGACTGAGCACTGTATGATCTTCTTCCAATGATCACATTAGCAGCCTCACTTGGATGAAAAGCATCCCAAAACAAATACTCATCCCTATTTTGGCAAGGAGTTTGGAATGGCAAGCAGGTAATTTGCCCATTGTTCCTCCCCACCCCACAACACCCTGCATTTGTTACCTTAAAACCTGAAATTCACAATGGCAAATCAACCCAATATTAATATATTAGTTTTTAGGATACTCAGTGTCAATAGTGTTTTTCATAAAATATATATTTACCGTAAGCTGCAGGATTGCTTGTTATGTCTTGGAAAATTCCGTAAGCATTAATGTAGATGAATTTTGCGTCAGAATTAGCATTGTTGAATTGATCAACAAGACCTCTAAGCTTGTTATTAAAAATCCGTTTGGCAGCATTGATTCTCTCCACACAAGTTCTACCATCTCTGCTATTTTGAGCCAATTCATTTGGGCTGCACCCAATCTGACCCAAGCCGATCAGCACAAACTTCCTTGCTCCATAATTGTACAAAGTCTGAAACATACATCCAAAGCGTTTTGTCATAGTCATGAAAGGATTTTAGTGGGAAAAAAAAAGTGGAAATATGTAAAGATGTCAATGGAAAATACTAACCTGAAGCTGCTGAGTGTATTGTTGAATAAGAACATTAGCATATTGCTCGGGGCTGTATTGCCTGCTGGTTGAGTAATAAAGAGGCATGAAATAGTTGTTCAGGTAGTCGTTGCTGCCCATTCCGATTGAGTAAACACACTTGCTCAAATAATTTGCTGCTGTGTCTTCATCACCTAGCAAGTTGACCACTTGTGAAACTGTGCGTTGGTAATTTCTAACTTGCCCGCTAAAACTGATCCGAGCTCCCTGGTAATGATGCAGATAATAAAGCTTGGATATTGATTTGATGCAATAATTATAGAAAGAAACTATCCAAAGTTAAACTAATTACCAGTTGTCGGCCGGTCTCTTCTCTGATTCCGGCAGCCGCGGATGCATAGTTAACTCCTCCGAGTATTTGTCTACCTCTTGCGGTTGAGTATGGAGGAATGTAATTGTCAAACCCCAAAAGTTCAGCTGCACATAAAAAAATAAAGCTAAATCGACGACGGTCGTTTTTCTAGTAGTTAATTTTTGATATATCAAGTGGGGTTGTTATTACAACATGCCACTACTACACTACTGTTGAAGCTTCAAAAATAAACACTGCAAACATCCGAATTTGTCTATTCAATCTGTTGCTTTGAAAGAGACAATAGTAAAAGAAAAACCCAAAGATTAATTGGTCAAACAGATGAAGAAAAAGAAATGAAATTAGAATCTCACCTATGACATCGACCGTAGTTTTACCATTGGAAAACCTTCCAGTTGGTCCATTAGGGAAGTCGATGCCATAAGGCAAATAATTAGCCCTTGCCAATGATGACAGTTGATTATTATTCCCATTATCCACCAAGGAATCCCCAAAAATAAAGTAACAAGGAACTTGAGGTGCTCCTCTAACCCCAAAGCACAAACTCAAAACCAACACTACCCCAAACACCCCATACCATTTCTCCATATTAACCAAATTGTAAGAATCAAAATCTCAAAAAAAGAAAGAATGGATGACACCAAAAGAATGATGGAAATGTGTGATAGTAAGCCTATGGGAATGATGGCATCTAACAGGTAAGTATATATAAAGAGAGAAGGGAGAAGGAAAGAGATGATTACTCATTCAATCATAGGCAAATGATATTGTTTTTAGCTTGTACAGTTGAAAAAAAGTAGGTTAGACATTAAATTTCACGCGGACATAGTGTGAGAATCTGTGCTCTAAGAATTTTGTTCCTTTTTATTCTTAAATGTTTGTTTAGTCTAAAGATAAAAAAATTATTGTATGACTATGAAAAAGTTATTCCTAGTGTTATAATTCTACTTCTATTAATGAAACCACCAAAGGGCCACAATGGTAGTGGCAAACAGGAATAATATAGGTTTAGGAGAGGCTTTTGTGGTGTATTATCATTACCAATAAATGGAATCGGCTATAGAAACATGATTAGTTTACGAGTGAAAAAGAATGCACTCAACTGATAAGTATTACGATTCATTTTGTTTCATTTTAATATAAAATCTTATATCATCATTTATACACTTAAAAAATTGAGTTTGGATCATTTTCTCTCTCCAATAAAAATAATTTTTGTTCTTGTTTATATTTGCATGTTATTAGAATATTGAATTAATTGATATAACAATCATTATAATGTAAATTTAGGAGTTTATTTGATTCAATCATAAAACAACGTTACAATTTGATAAGTTCAAATTCTATGGCCTGCTGTCCTAATTAATATTGTAGCTGCTCCATTCAATGGTGATGTGCACATCGTTTTACACCAATTAAGTTGTTTCATTGGCCCAATTTTTGTTCATATTTGGCTATTAATTTGCCTTCATAACCCCAACATTTCAACGCCTATATATAAAGCCAAAGTGCAGCCTTTATAAACTTGGGAAAATGGGAAAATGACATTACAAAAGTCAATACCCAAAAAGTTTGACATCTTCGTCAACTTGGTCTATACAACTCAATCGCATGCCATTACACTAACCAATAAAGACCTCTTGTGGTCCTATTCCTATACATATTTTTCCTCTTTTTCCTACTTAATTTTGCGTTTACTTTGATCATCTTCTCAATTCAATGCAGGCATTAATTACAGGGAAACTAATTGAGAAACTGATCGCTCTTTGAAAGGGAAACAAAACCTTTACTTCAATCCAAAACCAGGATATGGTGAAGCTTTACTGAATAAAAATGCTTCGAACAGCAATGAATCTGACGATGCATATGTGTATGTCGTTCAAAAATGAACCAATCGGCATGCAGTCATTAATGGTAGTCGGTAGCCATATATATTTAATGTAGGAGAGACTAAGTCATGACGAGTAACATCAGCTGTGTACTTGGTGGCTCGTCGTTGACCGTCTGCGTCGGTCTTACGAGTTCCAAACATTGGTCATCGATCCATGGAGAGAAGTAGCATTTGAATGCTTTATAATCCATTATGTATGCGTTGAATCCTTTTAAGTTTTCCACTAGTTTCCCACCCATATCATCTGCCATATAATGAAAGATGCATTCCCACTCAATGTCAAACCTGTACCTCAAAATCAATGTAATATTATACACCTTGTGATTTGGGGTCATGGCAATTCCATTAATATCTATATAGCAGTCTCCCGATCACATGAACATGGTTGATAATAAAATTCCATTATCAGATGAACTAACCTTTGCGAATATCTATGAACATCTATCTTCTTTTTTGTATCAAGAGCATCTGACTTTTTTTGTTTCAAGTATTGAAACTTATGAAACATGTATGAGGTTCCCATAAGGCAACAATATGATTCTGCTGTAACTGTGAGAGGAACATTGAATATGGCTTTTCTCAAAGAAAAAAAAAAAATTATCGATACGGATATGGGCATCAGGCTGGATAAGATAAGATGTTTTTGATTTGATTTAACCGATCACCCATGACTTATTAATGGCTATTTTCTCTATTTTAGATATTGTATGAAAATGTAAAGTGATTTTGATAATTTAAAATATAATATGATAATAAAATATAAATATAATATAAATAAAAATTATAATATGATTTAAAATTTTAATAATAATTATATATAAAATTAATAAAATTTAAAAAATATATTTTATATTTTTATATAAAAATTAATATAAATTAATAAATTTTAATATTTTATATAATATAAATACATGCTGGATTTGGAAGAGAGAGAACGAAGACCCAGGGATCAAGGGTGGCAAAGACCCAGTTTGAGCAGCTGAGCCCAAAAGATATGATCTTCAATGCTAAACCTGGGCAGGCAGCTGCATCCCCAAAGCCCACCTTGATGAGCATAAGGCCATTCAATTCAATGAAGCCTCATAACTTTCCAAAGTCAACTAATTCCAAACATATTCTGGGATTTCATTTTAGGAAGAGTTTTGAATTCATAACATTTTGTGAAGAGTTGATAAAGTTTATTTGAATTTGAAATTTTTATTTAAAGGAATACTAAAATCCAAATTCTACCAATTCAATTTTTTTTTTAAATTAATAGTTTAAACACATCCAATTCAAACCTGTAAAACGGTTCCAATATAAATTGATTTAATTTCAAATAACAATGTACCGATTTTTTAAACACTTTTAAAAGCGGTTAAACATCCGTTTCGAAACCCCAACGATTTTTCCGTAATTCCAAGCGATCCACCTAGCTCTCTCCATCTCAGAGTTGGACCGAATCAACTCGATCAACAACCCCTCTAATTGGTTCAAATTCAAACGACGTCGTGGACTTCCCCGTAATCCGAATCCCTCAAGGCGTAGTTCCAAATGCAGTCCCATCCAACCGACGCCGCGCCGCCTCAGAAACCTACCCATTGCCGTATCTCCAGTTTCTCATCGATGACCAGCGCACGATTCGAGCCATTCGGAGCCATTCGCGTCTCCACGTGCGGACCGCGAGTTGGCCACGCGCGTTCGGAGGGAGTGGGAAAGGGAGACCGTGGTTTTGTATTAAGAGTAAGCGATGGAGTTTACTGGTTTTGGTACGGTGGCGGTGGTGGCGAGAAGGACGAAAGTAGTGCGGTTGCGCGTGCTGATGAAATCATGGCCGTTGATTTTAAGGCGGTTTTTTACTTTTGACGAGAAGTTCCACCGTGGTTTATAGAGGTGGAGTCGGTTAATTTTGGGCCGAAATAGGGCCTATGTTTGGACTGGGCTTCCTTATGTGCTTTCTTTCACCATTAAGACCCAAAATCCATAAAAATTTTACATTTTTGGCATTACATTTTTTTGCCAAAAATTTGTTTACATATTTAATGTACTTTATTAATTTTATAGATCAACTTAATTTTAGCATAATAATCAATTTCATTTTTATTGGTATAAGAATTGGGTTTTTAACCAAAAAAAAAATTATAAATTATATAATTTTTTTGTAAATGATTATATAAATCAACTCGATATTTGTTTACTACTATACTAACAATAATTGAACGAAATCAGTGACAAAATTTCCAAGTCATGGTCATGTTCAATAATTATACATTTGTACATGATATAATTTGTCCTATTATTTAAAGGTCACGTTCATCCAACTTGAATCGAATCATTTTGAATTAAAAAAAATTATTTTGAATTTAATTTAAATTCAAATTTGTATTTAGATTAAGTTGATTTAAATTATCGATTTTTTTATTTAATTTGAATAAATATTTTTTATTTGAGTCAATTTTATAATATTTAATATCTAAATTTAATAATTTATATATTAATATCATATAAAATATTAATATTTTATATCATGATTCGTATTTATATAAAAATATAAAATATATATTTTTATTATATTAAATTCATATATAATTTTTATTAAAATATTAAATTATATCATATTCACTTTTTTTATATTTTTCATTACACATCACTAAACGATATTTTAAATTATAAAATCTGATCGTACGTTATTCATGAGGCAGCTTCGGGACCGCAAAATTCAGGCATTGCTCATTTTAAACTTGGAATCAAATCGTTAAGGCTAAGGAAGGACCCACTATTTTCTGATTTTTGGGTGGCAACTAGCAATAATGAATTGCCAAAATAATCTTGGGTGAGGTCCATAATACCCACTCTCCCCATCCCAATCTTACTGGTTTTTTACTTTCTCATGGTAGCATTTCCTTCACGTGTACTTCTACCGTCCACTATTGCATCCAATAAAAATTTAAATTTGATAAATTTATATATTTATTTTTAATTTATATAAAAAATATATATTATAATTTGTATCAATATAAAAATATAAAATATATTTTTAATTTATTAAATTCATTTAAAATTTTAAATTATATTATTTTTATATTATATTTAAAATTATCGTATATACAAAAACCTTCACTTTCCCTTTCTTAGGAATGAAAACTACATGACTTTGAAAAAATAATAAATTTCTTCTAATCTATCTATCCATCATTTTCCAAATGTCCCCTTTTTACTCCATCATTTGCTGATATTATAGCTTTCTTCTTCCCTCAATTTTAGCCATAGAAGGCTTGCCATATTCTTCAACTTTCTTCATCAACTAGATATTTTCTTGAATTTTCTCTTTTTTTGTTTTCATGGTAATTCCAAATTTAGAATCTTCTTCAAATATCTAATAAATGACAATTTGATTTGGGTGGACCAGCATCAAATCATTAGACATAATTTTTCAAATTACAAGTCAACTTTTGTCACTAAAAAAAGAAGTATTGGATTTGGCCATTTGGGTTGAGTTTAGGTGAAGGATGCTTGACTTGCTTAATGAATTTGTTTTGAGGTAATTAAGCCAAAAAAAATTAAATAAATCAAAATCAAGTAAGATTCTTGTCACTTCAATAAGTCTATTTGCACTGAATGGTTTATTTATCCTCTCTCAAGCATAGAAAATATTTTTTTTTTTTTGAGAAATATGAGAAAATTACTATATTCAAATTAATTCTTCAAATCTAAAATTATTTTGATTAATATGAAAAAAAAAATCTTTCAATAATTTAAACCTCATTTGATAAATATTTTTTTAATGCGATAAAAAATCTCATGTTATGTCATAATTTTAAATAAAAATTTATTTGACAATAGGATAAAAAAATTTTATTATGTCATAATTATCTTATTTTAATGTCATGATATTTCTTAATTAAATTAAAAATTATCAAATATATTGATAGATTTTTCCACAAATGTAATTAATATCATAATAATATCAGAATGATGATTTCCTAGCTAGACTCAAGTTGAATTATATCACAGCTTCGTTTCGGTGCGATTAAATGATTTTTTTTTTTGTTTAATTTCACCGTGATTTTTCGTTTACGTTACGATTCATCTTACGTGGCATTAGTTGGAGGAGTAATCTCAACTAGTGAGGAAGGTTTTAGTAACTCACCACATCCCATATTAAACTCTTTTACATTCACTAATTTCTTAAAATTCAATTTTACCCTTTCTTTGAAAATTTATCAAAATTAAAATATTTTGTGAATTTAAAAAATAATATTTTACTTTTACTCAAATTATTAATTTTTTTGTTTAATTGTATCCCTAAATAATTAATTTTAAATATTTTAAATATTAAATAAAATTAAAATATACATTTAAATAATTTTTTAATTTATTTTTAGATTTAAGTGTCTAATAGTCATTCTATATTTACACTTCATTACCGTCGTTAATTTTATATTCAAATATATATTTCATCATTTATTTTAATTTTATCGTTATAGTATTTAATATTATCGTTACAGTAACTAATTTTATTATTATTATTTAATTTTACTGAAATTAATCTTATTATCTATCCAGATGAACCCTTATTTTATAATTTTAATTTCATCATTCAAATTAAAGATATTTTTGCTAATTATTATCTAATCAAGTGATTGACCATAAAAACTAAATTTTTTTATTTTTATTTTTAAATAAACAAATAATAAGCTTTTTGCCTAATTTATTAGCTTAGACAATGTGATGGAATTAAAATTTTCACATTATTTTTTTTATTTTGTATGTCTAAATCCAAATCTGACAACATTATATTCACATTATAAGAAAACAATACAAAATTGGCATAAATTGATAAATTCTATGCATATTTCATTGTGTAAAGTCCTAATTTTAAAATCTGAAATATTTTTAATGCATATAATACTCTCGAGTCTTGACTTGTATTTAATAATAATAATAATAATAATAATAATTTCTCATAAATTTAAAATATAGTATGCTAAGCAAATTTATATATATAATTAGTTTGTGACTCATGCGATATATAAATTATATTAGTTATTTAAATATATGTTTATATTATAAAATTTATATTTTTTCTGCTATTATATCTAAGTTTTTTAAATTTTATGACATAAATAAAATAAAATATTTATTTAATTAACATGTCATAAGAAAATTAAACTTTATTGTTATTATCTTGATCAAAATGTTAAAAATAAATGTGAAAAAAAAAGTTAGATATGGATAAAAAATAAAAAAGAATTAAATATAAATATAATATGACTTTTTAGGAGAACATAAATATTGAATAATCAATCAAATAATAAAAAGAAGTATTAACATACCTTCACTAAATTATGATTTTACTCAAAATATTGAAAAAAATATTAATTAAGAAATGTGTGACGAATAAAAAAAATTAAATAAAAATAATGTCAAAAGAATTAAACAAAATAAACAAGATTACAAAAATAATATAAATTTTAAAGGAAAATTGAATACTCCGAGAAAAATGACATAACACATTTATATTGGCATATTTATGGTAAAAAAATCAATAATTTAATTTGTTTTTAAATTTAGCCATATTTTAATTAAAAATTTATTATTTCATTAATGAATGTTTTGTCATATCTTATTATCTTATTGTTTATGTGATGTCATTCTAACCCACACTTAAGTTTCAATTCATCATCTATATAAAAAATATTGTTCACCCATTTTATTCTTAATTATTTTCTTAAGGAATTTTATAGATAACTACTATTATTCTGTATGGTATATAGTATATACATCATAGTATAAATAAATATATAAATAAAGTCCAAAACTTCAAAATTGTTTTACAATGTACTTATATAATTTAAATGCGAGATAAAAATTCTATATAAAAAATACTTAGATTAATATTAAATGAGATTTTATTTTTTTATTGGAATGATCTCAATAATATTATCTCATTAAATGAGGTAAAAATTATAAATTATTTAATATAAAAAGATTTGGATAAATATAATTTTTAAGATTTGCAACATTTTTAAAATTTAAATAATAAAGTTATTTAGTAGGCGATTACAATTAAAGAATTATCTTACGTGTAAAAATTATAAATTGCCCACATAAGATTATATGTAAGCCAACCTTATTAAGTAAGTACATATCCTATAATATAATATTATATATGATATATAATTTGTTATTATCTAAGTCAAAATTTTCAAAAGTGTAATTAATATTAAAATCTTTTGACCAATTGAGTATTAAATCAAATGACATATATGATGGTCAAATTTTTTAAAATTGTCGAAAAATTTATTCGTATAATATATTTTTAAATACAATTTAAAATTTAAAAAAATATGTATATGAATCTTCCTTTCCAAGTTAAACAATATAAAAATAATTAAATAATTAAAAAAAACGGCAGTTCACCGAGCAAAGAGGGGACAATTTTTTTTATTTTATTCCAAGAATCAAGATCCTTCTAGTTTGAAGAATCTCAATCTGGCATTTTTACTCTGAAAAATATAAAAAAAAAAATCAAAGAAAAAAAATCATGCTGAGTGAGCAAGTGGTATGAGACGGTAACGTATCTACAATTATTGTATTATAATTAATTAATTAATTAATTATAATTTAAAATTTTATGAAATCTGTGAAAATTTTATATAAAATCACACTTATAAAGACTTGTAACTCAAAGGCTAAGCCAGGATTCAAACGTTATGGATAATCAGTTTTGATGCTTTTTAATGAAAAAAAATCCTTCTATATGCGTCGTAATCTAAAATAGAAGTGTTTTATTATCAGTCTGGATTTTTATTTTTCCAAAAAAATTATTAAATAAAAAAAAAAAGCAAGGTTGAGCAAAATCCTAGTGGGACGGTGGCTGCATGGCTAAAAAGAAATGCAAAAAGGAAAAGGAAAAAACCTTGTTGGCCTCTTCTCAATGGCAATAATGGTTTGGATAACAGTCTGCGAAGATGATGATAAATAAATTTATATATCTGTGTATATGGTGACAGATTTTTCAGTTTTTCTATGAACTTTTTCGTATTAGCCACAGCCTTAGCCTTCCAAAATATCCGCATTTTGCCAACTTGCTCTCTCATCAATCCTCTTCTCCATATTACCCTTTGTCATCCTCATCAATGTCAATTTCATCCCAAGAGATCTGCATTTTGCATAACAATAACAATCTGGTAAAATCAAACAAACCCTTTCTTTCTTTTTTTGTCATTTATTTTGTTGACGGCATGATTTTGTTATTATATAATTTTCTTTGGTTTCTTGGGCTTTGTTACAGACTAACGGAATGCCAGGGAACAAATATAACTGTAGTCCTGGCACACCAAGAACAAGATTGGAAAGGCTTCTTAGAGAAAGGGAGTTGAGGAAATTCAACAAGTCTTTAAATGATGGAGAAACCGATCAGTTATCAACCCATGACTCTTTTTCACCTGATTCTGAGACTTCAACTTGGTTCAATGATGAAGAATCCTTGGAAGCGATTTCAGCTGCCAGAGTTTCATTTGATGGATGTGAAAGGCAAGATTTCCGGGCTTCCAAACAGCGGTTGTTGGTGGTTGCTAATAGGCTGCCTGTTTCTGCACTTAGGCGTGGGAAGGATTCATGGCAACTTGAGATAAGTGTAGGAGGCTTAGTCAGTGCACTTCTTGGTAAAGTGATCACTTCAATTCTCTTGCATTGTGATTTTTTTTTTCTTTTCTGGAATTCGTTTTCGATTGTTTAGTTGCAATGTTTAATTTGTTATGAAGGTGTGAAGGAATTTGAGACCAGATGGATTGGTTGGGCTGGTGTAAATGTCCCTGATGAAATTGGAAAAGAGGCATTAACTAAAGCTTTAGCTGAAAAGGTCATACAAAATGAAGTCCTTATTCTTATTGTCAAGTAATCCATAATCTCGCAAATTAGTAGGGTTTATGTTTAATTTTGTGCTTTATACTTAATGCAGAGATGTATACCAGTATTTCTTGATGAAGAAATTGTTCATCAATATTATAATGGATATTGTAACAACATATTGTGGCCACTGTTTCACTATCTTGGACTTCCACAAGAAGACCGCCTTGCAACTACTAGAAGTTTTCAATCTCAGTTTGATGCTTATAAGAAAGCAAACCAGATGTTTGCTGATGTGGTTAATGAACATTATGAGGAAGGTGATGTGGTTTGGTGCCATGATTACCACCTAATGTTTCTTCCAAAATGTCTAAAAGAACGTAACAGTAAAATGAAAGTCGGTTGGTTTCTGCATACTCCGTTTCCTTCTTCTGAAATCCATAGGACGCTGCCATCTCGGTCAGAGCTGCTGAGATCTGTTCTTGCTGCTGATTTAGTTGGGTAAGATCATCTTTTTTTTGGCATTATTATATTTGAAAGCAAATGCAATTATCTTGGTTTTCTTTCAATGTTTATGTATTGGTAGATTGCTTGGGTATCTGAATTGAGCTTAGTTTGCATGTCTAGGAAGGTGTTCAAATTTTCACTAAATCTAGTACTAATAATGTACTTTGGATTTGGCTGAGCAAGCTAGTGGACCTTAGGCTGGGATTCGACTCCCCGAGGAGTTTGAACATTCCTCAGGTTTTATCCCCTCCCTTAATGACCAGCACAAAGGTAATAAACAAACATAAGAGCAAAGAGAAAGCTAACATTGAATCACATGTCTTCTCTCTGCAGTATAATAATGTTTAAAGGTTTGTTTTTTTATTCTATTTTCTTTGATACCAAATCATTGTTTGTAGCCAACATGATACCAAATGTCATATTCCTTCTGCCTGATCCCTGGCAATAAACCATAGGCCAGTTAATTTATAAGAGGGGTAAAAATCATTCAAACTGAACGTTTTTTTTACCTGCAGTGCTTTCTAATGGACTCTGCTAACACTTTGTGCACTCTGCTTCTTTCCGCCAAAAGCATATTATGTTAAGTTCTCAAGGCCATTATTGTAGTTTTGTTTTAATTGCTGGTACGTTGACCTTCCAGCTTCCATACATATGACTATGCAAGGCATTTTGTTAGTGCTTGTACTCGTATTCTTGGGCTGGAGGGCACACCTGAAGGAGTAGAGGATCAAGGAAAGCTGACTCGTGTAGCTGCAGTATGTCTTAGCGGATCATTCTCTCTGTGTTTATTATCTAGGAACCTTCAAATTTCTAATTTAATCTATTTTTTTGCATAGGTCTTTTAGCATTATAAATACGTTTATTCCTTATCACATCTACTTTTGTTTCTTGGGAGCTTGAAATTACAGTTTCCAATAGGGATTGACTCTGATCGGTTCATTCGAGCTCTTGAACTCCCTCAAGTCCAAGATCACATGAAAGAACTGAAAGAGAGGTTTGCTGGCCGAAAGGTAGGAATTGCTTTCTTTCTCCCTTTATTTCTCACTGTTTTTTTGCCCAGCTGAAAGCACCATAGTTCAGTACCCTTAACTGATATATGTTAATGTTTGTGTAGCATTCATTGGGCATTTTTAAATCTTATCTTTGACTTGAGGGAAGCAAACTTGCAAACTGCTTCTGAGTTACTTATGGTTAATGTTTAATAATGGTAAGGTAATGTTAGGCGTTGATCGGCTTGATATGATCAAGGGAATACCACAGAAGATTTTGGCATTCGAAAAATTCCTTGAGGAAAATCCTGATTGGCGTGATAAGGTGGTTCTCCTGCAAATTGCTGTCCCTACCAGGACTGATGTTCCAGAGTGTATGTTCCTTCATAAACATTTTTCTTCTTTCTATTAGATTACCTGAAAGATTGCCTTAAATTTTGCAACAAGAACTGCCAAGGCATTAGACCGATTAACATGGTCTATCTTACTAATACACTAGCATCTCAAGATGTTATACTCGTGTGTTGATTTGCCCTCTTTTTATGTCATGTCATGGTGACTTTTATAACAATCAATTGTTGTGTACATGATTAAAATAGAAGATGCAGTGCTAATCTTATCTTCAGCAGATTTTTTTAGTAGTGAATCTGTTTTGACATTATTTGTTTGCTAACCTGGATGTTGCTTTCATCCCTCCCCCTCTCCCACCCTCCTCAAAATCTTACATGTTTATTTTCTTGATTTCATAGATCAAAAGCTTACCAGCCAAGTGCATGAGATTGTTGGGCGCATTAATGGAAGATTTGGAACTCTTACTGCTGTACCAATACATCATCTGGTTTGTCTATACCTTAATTATCTTTATATCTGTCACTATAATATCATAAAATAATGAAGTAAAGGTTTACTGCTCAGCTGGAAAGAAGCAGATAGGATAAATATCTGAGTTTCATCTTATTCACTTTCTTCAATGTATAGAGTACCTTTGGGAAATTCTATATGAAACCATGCAAAATTGAAATCTGAAGTGGTTAGAAACTAAATCTTATAGATAAATAATCACAGACAGTTTAAGGTGCTGATTGTCAGGCTTAGCAATGCACTATTTAGTCGATTTTGTAGCCATAATAGACATAAAGAAGGAGAAGTTCCAAACTTTTCTTTATTTGCCTTTTTTTTAGCTGCCGATGATCAAACATTGTCCCACCCTTTACTATAACTTTTAACATGCATGAATAAGTTGTTAGCTCATTGTCTGAACTTACCTATCTGTTATTGTTGATGGACTGTGTGAAGGTTTCTAAAGCATTTTTCTTACTCTTTTACAGGATCGTTCTCTTGATTTTCACGCATTATGTGCACTGTACGCTGTTACTGGTACCTACTTTTGTACCGTAACACTATTTTGAATCTCTATTCATTGTTTCAAATGATAACTTTTTCTTATGCATGTCCAAACTTTTAGCAATTAATTAACAAATTATGCAGACGTAGCCCTTGTAACATCTTTGAGGGATGGAATGAACCTCGTCAGCTATGAGTTCGTTGCCTGCCAAGCTTCCAAGAAAGGGGTCCTTATATTAAGTGAGGTACTTAGATCTGATTTGAATCTACATTTATTCAGGGATTTTCCCGAAGTGCAAAGCTTAAATTTCATAATAACGTCTCTGCTTATTTCTAGTTTGCAGGAGCTGCTCAGTCTCTTGGTGCTGGAGCCATTTTGATTAATCCATGGAATGTCACTGAAGTTGCTTCTTCAATTGGTTATGCTTTGAATATGCCAGCTGATGAAAGAGAAAAACGCCACCACCATAACTTCATACATGTAACTACACACACATCTCAAGAATGGGCTGCAACCTTTGTAAGGTGTTGATCGTAGCTTAGTACTGGTATTTTTTTTTATAAAAACTTGAGGGAGGGAAAGACTGATGCGTCTAATGTGACAGGAAGAGTGAAAATAAGACCTTACTTGCAACAATAAATTTTCTTTTCAAAATCTTGGAATTTAAGCTGTGGGATTGGAGCTCTCCATAATAGATGATTGGCTGGTTTCCATTTTTCTTATGTCTATCTTCTTTCAATTTTATTATAAACTCTGAAGCTTTCCTTGTGTAGTGAACTTAATGATACCATTGTTGAAGCTCAATTAAGAACAAGACAAATTCCACCACTACTTCCAATTGAAGTTGCTGTGGATCATTACTCACAATCCAGTAACCGATTGTTGATACTGGTATGCTAATTTTTGTACTCGCATCTTTCTATATTTGACAATGTAGAAAAACCCCCTGGTCTCTCTCTGTGAACAATTCAGGAAGAGAAAAGAGGAAAAACTACTCCTTATAATTTGGATTTTCATTTTCATGATCACACTTCCATGTTACAGGGATTCAATGCAACTTTAACTGAACCAGTGGATACCCTTGGGAGGAAGGGCAATCAAATTAAAGAATTGGAACCCAAGTTACGTCCGGATTTACAAGAACCTTTGAAAAAGCTTTGTGATGATCCAAAGACGACAATTGTTGTCCTCAGTGGAAGTGACAGAAGTGTCCTAGATGATGTATGCTTATTTCTGTTTTTCTAAATATAAATCCTTAATCTTTACTCTTTGCTTCTTTTATTTTTTTAATCTCTGAACTAGTAATTTACTTCTGCAGAACTTTGGTGATTACAACTTGTGGTTGGCAGCAGAAAATGGGATGTTTTTACGAGTTACAAAGGGAGATTGGATGACAACAATGCCTGAAAATTTAAATATGGAATGGGTGGATAGTGTCAAGGTACATTCATTAGTCATATTAAGTTTAATATAATCCTTATCGAGTTCTTCAGCCTCTAGTTTTTCTGATGCTTACTCATGATTTCAGCATGTTTTCGAATATTTTACTGAAAGAACTCCTCGATCTCATTTTGAGCTCCGTGAAACTTCAGTTATATGGAACTATAAATATGCAGGTCCTCATCAATAAACTTCAATTAATTTATATTATCTCTTCTATTTACCATAGATAATCACATAAATTTAAGCTTACGTTGGTTTTTTGTGTTTATTGATTTATCTTCTGAACAACTTAACTAAAAATCTAGATGTTGAGTTTGGAAGACTTCAAGCAAGGGACTTGTTGCAACATCTTTGGACAGGTCCAATCTCAAATGCATCTCTCGATGTTGTCCAAGGTAGCCGATCTGTTGAGGTTAGATCTGTCGGTGTTACAAAGGTATGGTTTAGTGGTATTATTCATATCTGTTCTGCTATTCAATCAGGATCACAAGTTGTCTTATATCATGCTTTAATGAAAATATAGGGTGCAGCAATCGATCGAATCCTTGGAGAAATAGTTCATAACAAAGGCATGAAGGAACCCATTGATTATGTCCTATGTATTGGCCACTTTCTAGCTAAGGTGTGTTTCAATTACCAACGTTTAGCTATTTTTCTTTTTTTGAAGTACTGCTATATAAAAATATTTGGTTCGAGCACATTCTGAGAATTGAAGCAATCCCCATCTGTTGGTCCAAATGGGAAATAAGAGGCCAGAAAACCAATGTGTGATGAGATCATGTAACAGATTTAGGGTTTTAGCAGGTTTGGCTATTTTGGCCTATAATCCAGTTTGATCAACCTCAAACTAATGAAAACTTGCTAGCATTGATCCAATAACTCTCTAAAGTTTGAGCTGTTGATGCTTAAAATGTGATCTATTGAAATTAAATCGTCTGCAATGGTTCAGGATGAAGACATATATACGTTTTTTGAGCCAGAGCTTCCATCAGAAGTCCCAGCTCCGGCAAGACCCCATGTACCAACACCAGTCAGGACATCTGTTTCAAAGTTACAAGTGAGTAAAAGCGGATCCAGAGCAGCAGCTCGCCCTAAGAAACAACGGTCATTTTCAACTATAGAAAGGAACTCAAGCTATCCTGTAACTGGAGGTGTTTTGCAATCAATGGCGGCCGATAAGATGTCATTGCAAGAGGGTTCTTCAGTACTTGACCTGCAGGGTGACAACTACTTTTCTTGCTCTGTTGCACGGAAAAGATCTAACTCACGCTATCTCCTTGGATCATCTGATGATGTTGTAAAACTCTTGAGAGAGCTGGCAGATCATACTCAAAGCTGACGGTATGACCAGAGAAGGGTTACAATAGGAGCAAAGTTAAAGAAAGTTGAATTTTGTTTAGCAGTTATATTTTTTGGAAAGGAAATGAATTTTATTTGGTTAGAATGCCTTCTAATCTAAGCAATTAATTTCATTGAAATTAAAATCGATAATTGAAGATTAATTAATTAGTGGTTGTTGGTAATAAGAATTTTATTTCTTCTTTTCAATTTGTTTCCAGTCAATATCAATGGCAAGAAGAGGTTCAGCAATTCAGCAATGAAATAGCATGGCAAGCTATGTTGCAGCAAGAGAGGGCCTTAAAAGTTGAAATCAATCCAAAAAGCTGCCCACAATTTTGACAAATTTGAGTTGCAAAATGTGCAGACATCCATTTTATTTAGAATAATTATAGGGTCTCATATGTTCCCATTGTGCTGCCTCATTCACTCTGTTATCCATATCAAATGCCAGTAAAGGAGTGTCATATGTTCCCATTATAGCTCCTTGGCCTTCGCTCAACATCCACTTTGCCACCTGAGCATCAGTGAGTCTGGAAAATCCAATTTAGGCCCACGAAATATTGCATAACGGAGCCAGCAATTACAAGTTGAATCATAGCATCCATTCAGTATAAACCTTGGACAAAAAGGTTGAATCAGAAGAAGCACACCTAATAATCATTCAATGAACCTTCTTGCATGAGTAATGTATGTATTCCGAATAATAGCATTTACCTTCTTTTGCAACATCCGTCAACAAGATTCTATAAATGGCTGTGTTAATATATACAAACTGAACTAAAATTGAAGAAAATCTGTATCAAAGGCTTTCATGTATTTAGCTTGAGCCAGCAAAACAAATAAGAGGTAACAGAAAATTAGTAACCACAAGCTTCCCTACATCAATGAGACAACTTCAGAAGCTTTAAAAAACAAAGCAAGAATACCACTTACTTGAATTACACCTGTCCCTCAAAATTCCTAAAGCCTTGGCTGCTGCAATCAATGGAAACTCAGTCTCCCAAGCTGTCCATTTGTCCAATGCTCCATAAACTGTCTCTTTTTCATTGGGAAGTTGAGAAACCTGCTCATGCCAACAAATCCAAAACCAACCAACCCAACAAAAATATTCACCTATAGAATCAAAGTGCATAGTTTCATCTTCAAATACTACATAAAATAACTGAACAGAATACTCGATAAAGTGAAAATAATCAAAGTAAACTTACAATTCTAACGAGATTGAGTGCCTTTTGTCCACTGCCAGCTGAATCTCTTTTCTTCCACAAGTGATGCCCATTCTTTCCCAACTCCACTAGTTTCCTACACACTCAAAAATTTTATTACTTTAGGCTTCTAAGTTAAACACTCATTCAATATTTTGATAAATTGATTTCAAATTTTTAAATGACACCCACTTCTCAACAGCTTTTGACGTGCTAAATGATTGTTTATCACCCAGCTTTTGGGAACATTTAAATAGGGAACTCTGCAAATTGAAATCCCAGAACCCAATAAAAAAGCCACTTCATTTCTTTGAACCTGAATAAAGGCAGCAACATGGAAAAAAAAAAATGATTCCTTGGAATCTTAATTTATCAACCTTGTTTTTGGCCTATGGAGAGAGTGTTAACTTCTTGAACAAATGCAACTAAAAGCCATTGATGCCTTTCTTCTTCATTGAATTTTCATATTGCTTTGAGGTTGGGCCAGCATTTTTAATACATATCCACATGAAAAACAACTTGATTTCCCTCTCTTTCTTGGTTAATAATAATTACATTTAAACTATCATTTTATATATTCGATGATAAAATTTTTAAATCCCAAAAATGAAATTAAAACGTTGTTACGTATCATTTTATTTATTATATTAATTTACTAATTATTTTAAATTTAATTTAAGATAATTTTTTAATTCCATGGATGGAGTGTATGAGATAATTATTCCATTATATAAATAATTGAAAAAGATAATTTATGGTCAAAAGAAAAAAAACCATTAATTTTCTTTCCAACAGCCTGTCAAAATTTTCATTTATGTGCTTTCCTAACGCTCTAAGGAATGGATAATCTTATTTGCAAGAGGTTTTCCCTTCCTTAGCAAACCACCTAAAAATATAAATCTTACCTAATCAACAAATAACTCAAAAGAAAGATAAAACCCAAACTTCTTCTAATCTTATCCAAAACCATTTATTCTAGATTCAGTACTTTTGTTAAATTTGACTCAAAATCTCTAACAACACAACTGTTGAAAAGAATTTAAAAAGATTTGACTTTTGGGACAGGTAACCTTTAAATAGATTGAAAGTTTCAAATGCCAAATTGACCAAAATTAAGCAAACTCATCACCCACATATCCTAATGCCGTGACACAAACTCTCACATACCAAGAATTTCAACCAAAATTTTCCCAGATGAGATTGCAGTCAATGTCATAAACTTTTCACATACTACAAATAATCTCACAAACGTACATGCTTATGCCAAAAAAAAAAAAAAAAAAAAAAGAAGAAAGCGACCTTTGAAAATCAATGGGTGGATGGAAGCAGGGTTATGGGTCATTTTCGTTTAATTGAGTACTATAATAGTGCCCAGATTTGCATAGGGTCATTTTCATTAAACTTTCACATATATATATATATATATATATATTTTATAATCATGTTTATGAGGTTGTTGTGTTTCTATTAAAGGAAATAGCGATTATATTAACATGTTTTATATAATTAAACAAGCACGTAATAAATATAAAAATATATAGAAACTTTAAACTCTTTTCGGTTATTATTAAGGTGAAAAGTACCTATGAACTTTTTTTTTGAAATTAATATGATTTTATTTTTTTATTATTGATGTAATTTTTAATTTGATTGAATAGCTTAGTGAAAATTAAGCTGAAAAGAATGTCAAATATAGGAGAATAGAGTTGACATCGGATCAAATTCGAAACAAGTTTTGATTGTCTTAAATTTGATCCAATTTTATATGTTATCAAATTCGAATTCGATCTTACTAAAATTTTTTTTTATTTTTTCATACTCGAATCCGATCCCGACCTAATACTATGTAAATCGTACCGACATGAAATTAATAAAATATTATTTTTTAAATATAAATATTTAAAAATATAATTATATAAATATATATAAATAAATAATCAAATAATTAATTTTAAAAATAATTTTTTATATAATATCAGGTCGAGTCGGGTTGTCAGTCAGGTTTATCTAAAATTCGAGTCAACCCGACCTCGATTATTTCATAATTTCACTCGACTCCGATCCGATCCGAAACTCGAATTTTGAAAAAAAAAAAATCAACCTCGTAAGATCAGATTAAAATCAATCGTATGGATTAAATTACCAACCTTACGAGAGAAGTTGAAAAAGTGCCGAAAATAATATTTTAAGATGCGTTTTTACATTCAAGTCAATTGAATGTATAAAAATAACAAAAACAAATGAGAAAAGAAAATAATAAGAAAAAAAACAAAAAGTTAAAAATAAAAGATCGTTGGAGATGATTCTCTTCGTTACTTAAAAATAGTGAAAACTTCCACATTACTTTTAATTATGATAAATGTATTTTTAATTAAATTTAAAATTAAAATTTGTTCAAATCATTTTTATCTTTCAAATTAATTTTTATTTATTTTTATATTTAATTTAAAAATGATTAAATTTTAACTTTAAATTTAATTAAAAATATATTTATCATCATTAAATAAAATAATAAAAACTTTCATTATTTTTTATCCAGTGAAAGCGGATTTTTTTTTTTTTTTGGTAAAACACACCTGAATTATTAATTTGTTATTATTACTCTGTTTTTTTCACTTACTACAATTACTTGCACGGCAATAACGGCTGACAATGTGGCACCTAAGCCGGCCGGGAATAACGAAATTCCACGCCCCCGTGTGCTCGTTTGCGCCGCAGTTGACGGTGATACGTGTCCATATCTAACTGGCTGGTCTTATTTGAAATCATCCTGAGGAGATAGATTAGGTGGACCTCACGGTCCTCACCCGCGTGGAGCCAGCCCCCTCTCTCTTTCTCTGTCTTAGGCGTCGCATGAGCCGTGGGATACGCCGAGCTAGTGGATTTCTAGCTTTAATCTTACGCCCTTACACCCAATCATTGCCGCGAAAAGAAAATTAATTGTTCGTTAAGCATTTTTAGGCTCGATTCAGCCAACCTACTTCCCCTTTGACTCGACTTCTATAGCCAGATTTATGCTTTTCTTTTTCATTTTTTTCATTTTGATCCCGAAATGAAAAGAAAGAGTTCACATAAATTAATTTGTTGGCAAATTTTTTTGGGTGAATTTGTAAAAATAAAATATGTATTTGAACAATTGAACTTCTTGATAACAAAGCAATGATGTGTAAATTTGTTTAAATATGATTATAATAATTCTAATTGCAATATTCAACTTTTTAAACTAGTATTATATAAATTAACAAAGAGAAAAGTTTGTACACAAAGGGATTTGACCTAAGACCTGGGATTTTTCCTATGAAAGAATTATTAATTTTTGCATTTAATTTCTTGTAACCAATTATAAACCTTTTTCAAGCAACCGTAACCTCTCCAATGTAATGTATGTATTTTTATGAAGAAAGCGTATTTGAATTAGTCGAGTTGATAAAAAAATTTAATTTTTTCATTGACAATCATATTTAATTTTTGTGAAATACATTAAATACACTTTTATGACAAGAAATTGATAAAATAACTAAAAGAAAAATTGTGTTTATGTGCTTCATGATTAAGAGTAAGGATATAATTCGAGTCGAATCATATTGATAAAATAAGAAACTCAAGTTTAAGTTTGACTCGAAATTCATTATTCGAAATTTGTTAGTCAAAATTCAGCATAAATTCAATCGAATTTTAATTTTTAAGTTTGAACTTAACTTGAGATAAAAATAAAGTTACTCAAATTTATTCAATTAGACTCGTTTAATAAAAATGAGCTTAATTTTTATATTTTATTTCAAATTTGATCATGTATTCAAACTCAAATTGGAACTTGAATTGATTATATATATATATATATAGGTAAAATAGTAATTTTTTAATTAAAATAATAAAAATATATTAAAATTTAAAATTTTGATTAGACTCGTAAACTATTTGAGTAGGACATTAGAATGTTCGAATTTGGCTCACTTGATAAATTGAGCTGCTCAAGTTTAAGCTCGACTCGATAATGATTGAGTCGAATTCGAATTTTATTTGAAATGAGTCCGAATAACTTGTAAGTATTAATGTATAATTTATACTCCTAATTAAGAGATTATGTTGACACCATTACCCAAAAGACTTTTCATGCCACTTAAATGTTTAGCCAAGGTGACACCATTTTTCTCTAATAGCCATGTAGGGAAGGAATTTCTTCTCTATATCAAGACATATAATCATCAAAAAGCTAGCCATCCTAAAACATCTCCAAATTCCAATTAAGATTGGCAAAGTCTCAAAAGTGAATGAAGAAGCACACACCACCAAACCTTAGTACACTTTTGAGAACTCTAAAGGAACTTACCCTTTTTTCAATTTGTAACTAAAGGATTGAAAGTTAAAGCCCATGAAATTTAAATTTCGAATTAAATATTAACACAAATTTAGGTAATATAATCAACAATTAAAGTAAATCCAAATACCATATGTGTAAGGATAGAAACCAAGCAAAAGAGATTTTTTTTTAAGTGATTCATTAAGTATCAAATTTTAACGAAGAAGGATCGGATTTGTTCTCTAAAAAAATATTTTTATTCGAACTTGTTAGCTAACATGATTTAAAAAAATGAGTTTAGAATTCGACTTCTTTATTCCCCTTCAGATGGTTTACTTAAGTTTTTACATGATAATCTTAATGAAATAATTAGGTCAGGGCTTGTATATTATAAAGCGATCAACCACTTTTTAATATAAAAAAAATATTTTGTACTTGTTTTAGAAGTTCCAAAGATCCGATCCCATGAGAAAAAAAAAAGAAATTGTAATTAATCAAATATTGTGGCAAAATGAGGAAAAAAAAAAACTCAATAAAAGCTAAAGCCAACTTAGTAAAGCAATAACTTAGCTGAAGAAGTTACACAAGAGAAAGCCGTGAGCCACAAGAAAAGGAGAAACTTAGAGAAGCTTAATTTGCTTTAGGCAGACGACTACATAACTTGGACAATTAGAAAAACACAAGCACAAGCACAACCTAGACAAAGAATCAAATAATCAACCAAACATATATATATATATAAAAAAAACCAAGGAAAACATTAAAAGGTGAGTGACGTTTATTATATACTTTTTGGGTACTTAAAAAGGTTCAAATGAAAGAATATTCCATAATAGAAGATTTCAAAGAGAATTTATATTTGATTATCCAAAAAAATCATTGATAGCAAAAATATTTATCATATTCGATATTATGTTTTAGATCAAAAAATAAAAAACTAAATTTGTTTACCGGATATACTATTTCAGCTCAGTTCTATATTAGGGTTGCAATTCCAATTGATGATAACAATTCAGTTAATTACAATCATAAATCTTTGTTTACTTTTAATTACTACTGAAAACAAATTGACTATATAATTTTGTATTTTTCTTAATAACTGCACGATCTATTAGTAAAAGGTATGACTTTAATTCATGATAATACTTTATATTTGACAATCTTAAATATGAAAAAAAAGAATTATTATAATTAAAATTTTATATTTTGTTTGATTTTGTGTCTATAATCAAAATTGGCATTACGATTAAATGAGCTCAATCACCATATTAAGCAAATTTTAATACAAAATATAAAGAATATTATAAAAAAGAGAAAAATATATAAAATTTAGATCAAATAATTCATTCACCTTTTTTAATAATTAAATTTTAACAAAACTAATTTTAAATCTAAACATTTACAAATTAATTTTTTAATTCCCCTTAATTCTCTCTAAGAAAAAACAAAAGAAAAAGAAAGCGGGGATCACAGTCATGACGGTATCTCTTCTCAAACACCAACATTTAAAAAAAAAAAGAAAATCAAAAGTGTAATCCCTACGGTTTAGATTCTCTCCTATAAATTACCTTTGTTTTCCCTTCTTTTCCCCCCACCGTTCCATTATTCCCATTGAAATCTTTCCTCTCTTCATCTACAACTCACAAGCTAAGCTAAGCTTAATAGATTGATCTGATCTTCCCCTTTGTCATGGCTGAAGAAGAATTCCAAGAGTCCGAGGTTATGTTTTCTGACCACAGCAGCAACCGTTGCGGCACACATGACGAGGATGCTGCTGTTCATGATGATGGGTACTTCAAGAACGGCCGTGTTTCACGTGACCACAACAAGTCGAGGAAAAATAGTGGCAAGAAGAAGAGGATAGTCGCCAGTTCGCTTCCTGTTAGCATCCCACGTCATCAGGGTAGTCCTGTTCATTGCGGCAGCGAAGCTGATGATTTTGAGGAAGAGGAAGATGAGCAAGGTGAAGTCGTGCCGCCCCATGTGATCTTAGGAAGAAGAATCGCCGGGAAAATGGCGTATTCGGTTTGTACTGGCAATGGTAGGACGCTTAAAGGAAGGGATTTGAGTCAAGTTCGGAATTCAATTCTTAGAATGACTGGATTTTTGGAAGCATAAACGATGGTCAAATCTTTTCCTTTTTTCTTTTATTTTCCTTTGTTACTTTGGTATTCATTTCAGAGTTCAGAAATGAAATGGGAAAAAAATTGTTTCCTTTGTACCATCGGCCTCTTTTTTTATTCTTAATCATTCATTGTGACAGAAAAAGAAAAAAAATGGAATTAATTACAGTAACACATAATTATTGATGAGTTTCACCAATTAATCTATCTCTCTTGCTTAAATTTTTGGTTAATTTCTAGTAAGTAATATAGTAGTCTTCGTGTAATAATAAAATTTCTGAGCTTGGAGGTTTTGTTTCAAGCAAAACATGCTGCAAAATTCCAGCTTGCATTGGTTTGATCTTGTGTAGCTTGGCTACTAGGACATGTGGAGGCTTAGGCAGCTGCCGCACCGCCTTACCAAAAAAGGAAAAGAAACCGCTGTTGGAGTTTTTGTCTTGACATTGGACATAATCCCAATCGAAACAGCTGGTTTCTTGATTGAGAGAGAGAGAGAGAGAGAGAGAGTTTTACCAGCAGAGATGATAAAAAAAACTTTATTTTTTAGGTACCTGTTTTTGACAATCTACAGCCATTTTGCAATACAGTATTGATGTTGTTGGAGTAGGACTGACTAGGCTCTTCCTAGGATAACAGGCACATTAATTTCGACATGTGAGATAATCATAGTTTCGTTTTATTGAAGTTAATAACTATGACAAAATGACAAATACTAGAAGTATTTTTCTTTCTTTTATTTATTAATGACAACATGAGAATTAGGCCATTAACCAGCAGTCAACCAAACTCCTTTTAGGGATCTCTTTCGATCTGCAGAAAGCTATGAGAAACCAGGATTTTGAGATCAATCCAACTTTTTATTCTTCCTTTTGCAGCAATTTTGGGTAGATGAAACTTTAATATTGCATTCATGAGGAATAAAATAAGTAAAGATGCCTAAATTTGTTTGCTTTAGAGTTGAAAACTTGTGTTCAAGAGCTTGATGAGTTACAGGCTAAGTACTTTTGTAACCCTAATTTCTTTTCTTTTTAATTCTGTTCATGCACGTGTCAAGTTTGTTTTTGAATTGTTCAATGGCCCTCAACAGTAATTTCTAATCATTCCCTCTTTTCCAATGTCAAAAAAGGGGGCACGTAAATTTTTCTACGTCCTGGTTTTCTTACCTAACAATGCTTCCCCTTTGTTAATTTCTTCCTATAAAAAACCAAACATACATCTAATAAAGAAAATGAATATGCAAATATAGCTTAAATTTATTTTCTTCTTGAGGTAGCTGTCATAAATTCTATAGCAAATCCTCCTTTACCGAATTCCAAAAGCCTAGAATATATATATGTATATATACACACGTGCATGCTCGTGCACGTGTGTTAATAACTATTAGAATTTTGAAGAAAAAGAAATTCAATGCTATTATAATGCATTTTCATAATGTATACTCTTGAGTTTTGCTTTGTGTTAGGGAATGAAATTTAAAAAAAATTTTTTCTTCTAATTTTTGAAAAGATATATGATAACTTTTTTTACCTCAATTATAATGCATTTTTTTAATTTTTTTAAATTTTAAAAATAAATAAATTATTTAATCTCTCAAATCATGATAAAATATATAATAAAATAAGTTATTATAAATTATATATTCTAAATAATATCAAAAAATAATTATCAATTAAATTCGAATTCAAAATTTTTACATCTAAAAATTTTTATCAATTGAATCAACTAAAAATAAATAAATTTGCATGAGGTTAAGAGTTACTTGAAACTTAATGGAACAAAATCATTACATGTAAGTAAATTCAACAACAATAAAACCCTCACGATTCCATATTAATTAAACATGTTCCTCAACTATAGGACTGTTTAGATTCCATATAATTTAACTTGTTGCCATCATCATTAGGGCCATTTTTTTTTATATATTTAAAGTTATGGAAATTTGATTTTTTAACTTGTTATCATCATCATTATCCGTTATTTTTTATATATTTAAAATTATTAAAATTAAAAACAAAACATACTATCTCTCTTATGAGATAATTTTTTATAAAAATATTATTTTTAACGCTTAAATTTTTCTTTTTAGACGTCTCCCTATGTTTTGAAACCCACGTGTACACTTAAAATAAACTAAAAGTTTAATATAATATTTAATCAATAAAATAATGAAGTTATATTTGTTTGATTAAAATGTTAATTAATAAGTCAATAATTAAATTGTCGATTGGGAAAGAAATGACATCGGAGCCACGTGTGGTGCAGGATGGTTTGTCAATGATTCCGTGCAAACATGTCAGAAATGATAATTGTCAGAAAAAGACCAAACATATTGTGAGATCATCACATCAATGACGTGGTCAAACATTTGCCATAAATTCTTTAAACATAATTTTTTTTTTATTTAGAGAAATTGTGACTCTTGATTTAGTGTCTTATTATTATTATTTTAATAAAATATACTTAATTATTATTTTTTTATATTAAAGAATAAAATCGTAACATAAATAAAAAAAATTTGATTCGAAATTAAATCTTTAATATTTTTTCAAATTTTGGAGACATTATCATTATTTGATTCTTAGGATGTTTGTTTGCTTTCTCTTAAGAAAGATAAGAGGGGATGACCAAATCAAGGAAGTCATTTAGTAGCAAAAATACGTAGTCAAAAAAATGTTAAATATTGAAGACTTAAATTAAAATATAATGAATCTAAGTTTATTTTTCATGATTCATGTATGATTAAAAAGTAATATTTAATAAATTTAAAATTTTAATTTAATATAATAATAAAAGAAAAAGGGAAAAATTGACAACTCTGTGATTATTCATTTAGTGTAGCATTAGGTGATAATAATTCTTAAGAAAAATCTAAAGAATATAATGTAAACAAAATTTAAATAAAATCCCATGGAAATCATATTTGTAGAGTTGACATCGGATTAGGTTCGAGATGAGTTTTGCTTGCCTCGAACCCAATATGATTCTATGTGTTATTAAATCCGAATCTAATTTTCTTAAATTTTTTTTTAATTTTTTCATACCAGAAATCGACCTCGATTCCTACCTGAAATTAATAAAATATTATTTTTTAAAATATAAATATTTTTTAAATATAAATATTTAAAATATTATTATATATATATATAAATAAATAATTAATTAATTAATTAAAAAATAATTTTTTATATAATATCGGATCCGATCGGGTCAGGTTTGCCTAAAACCCGACCTAAAAACCTGAATTTCAAAAAAAAAAAAATCGACCCCATAGGGTTAGGTCGGAACCCGTCGGGGATGGGTTAAATTGCCAACCTTACACATTTGAGTCTATTAATATTTTTACTAAAAATATCTATTTAATAAATATATCATAATTTTTAAAATTTTTAAAAAATTTTATACATTTGATATACATGATGAGTATTAAAATGAGTTATCTCATATCTAATAAATTTTTAATTTTTTGTAGTTTTATATTTAGGTTCGACTTTTTCACTTACTGTTAATTAGTTTTAAGTTAAATACTTAATATGATATTAGAATCAAGACTTTTTTTTCCATTGCTTTTTCCTAATTTGTCACACGAAAAGCTTTTTTCATCTTCACTTACACATGATGAAACTTGTTAAAGTGGATTATCCTCATATCTAATAAATTTTTAATTTTCTATAACTTTATATTCAAGTTGAACTCATTCACTTGCTGTTAATTAATTTTAAATTAAATACTTAATAATAAAATTTTTAATCTATCAATTTTGATTATTGATTTTAATTTTTATTTACTAACTTTTAATAAAAAATTTTACAAACTTCACCTATAAAATTTCATATAAATTTTTTTCACACAAAAAAGCACTTATCTTATTCAAGAAAAAGACAAATATAGCATTTTTATGAATTCCCATTTCACTTTCCTTCAAGAATTTTTTTTTCCCATCAAGCTCACGTTCAAACAACTTCTAAGTTCCAGAAAAGCAAACAAAAATGGAGAAGAGAAATACAAGTTAGCAGAAGATGCTTTTTCAATTCCACAAGAATAAACTGTCCAGATGGGCAGCCAATGTCATATATCACTCAGAAGAAGAAAGAAAACAAACACCCAATTCGAATTAAATTATGATCAACATAATTGACATAAATCAGAGATACGTGTTTCAAAGAATTCCTTGATGTTTGGGCCACTGAATGTAGTTGGAGTGTAGTGAAGGAAGTATTTTAATAGACTTTTAACATGAAGGTTTTGATTAGGACATGTTTTGCTATAATGTCCAATTTTTCATCAAGAACATAACAATGGGAAACTGGCTTTAGAGTTTGGTAGTACCACGTACCAACCTTATCCTTTCGGTTTGGTGAAGGATTGGTAGCAAACAATTAAATTTATAGTAAATCATTGATTTTAGACCCACTTTTCATATTCATAGATCACCTGATAATAAATGAGTTATTGAAAATCTAATAGGTTATTTATTTGATTGATTCGATTAATTTTAAATTGAATTATATTAATATTTTTATTAATCAAATTAAATTTATAAATTTTAAAAATTAATTGATTAAATTTAATTCAATTGGTTCGATTAATTTTTTAGTTAACAAAATAATAAATATATTTAAGTAAATTATATTTTGAACTCTCAATTTTTTATATTTTAAATAAACTAAATAAAATTATTTAATAAAATATTCAAATGCTAAAGTATTATGTTAAAAATTTTAACAAATTATAAAATTAAGTGATCTATTTTATGTATTTTGCATTTTATATTTGAATTATGTTATATTTTGATTAATTAATTGTCAAATCGAATTAACTGAAAACAAAAAATTTTTTAAAATCATTTTTTTCATCAATCAAAATTAATTCAATAATAAAAAATTAATTAAATTAAATTAATTCAATCAATTAATTCAATTAAAATCAAATTATAAACAATCTTAGATTCTAATTCTCTAAGAAACTATTTGCTGCTTCTCTTATGGGTGTAAAAAAAGATTTATCTCCCTTTTTTTAATATTAAATAAAAAATTATATTGATGATCAAATTAAATCAAATTAAAAGACACATAAACAGAAAAATAAACAAAAAAATATATGGTTATTTTTCACAGCTAATTTTTTTATTTGTTTTTGTATTTTTTATCAAACAATATTTTTTTTAACTTAACACTGTTTACCAGTATTAGAGTCTTGGTAGTGACACGTAGGCACGTACTAACCTTATCCTTTTGGTTTGGTGAAGGATTGGCATTAAACTCTTAATTTTTTATATTTTAAATAAATTAAATAAAATTATTTAATAAAATATTAAAATATTATATTAAAAATTTTAACTAAGTCATAAAATTAAGTGATTTATTTCATATATT